GGAAAAATGTACGGTTCCTGTTGGATAATTTGTTTTTGTTTTTCACGGAGAAAGGGATCGACATGCCAAAATCTGCAATAGGATAAGTTTTTCTTCTAAAGTAACACTCGCAATAACTATTTATATCTATTTAAAACGTACCTAGATGTATCTTTCCACTTATTAAAGGTACTTTTTACGACAATGATGACGATATGAAACATTTAAATTTCTTATATTAACAATAAAATGTATGTAATTAGGTATAACAGTAATTAAATAAAATTCCGCTTACCTATTTGGGGCAAATCACAAATGAATTGAGAAAAAAAATGTTTGCATTTGTAAACACAAACATCTACTTTCACAACAAGCAGTTCCGTTACTAAATATGTTATATGTCTGTGTATTATGTATATTTATTTAAATCACAATCACCCACTAAACTTTCAACACCTCACTATTTTTGCATTTCAAATGCAATCGTGATATTTTTGACCGATTAGAATTGCGATTGATTTAAATAACGATGGGAGGACAATGGTAGACGGTCACAGGATGTGTTGTATATTGTAGTGTATATATATAAACAGAGATATTTTTATTAATAAGTCTTAAGTAAGACATCTATGTACTACTTGCACCGATAAGAACCGCACGGCGCGCCGTCACACAGCGAACAACGAGGCCGACAATGGTAGAGCGCTCGTTTCTCTTACTTTTTACTTGCTTACGTCGCGATTATGTCGTGCCGCGAGTAGGTATTTTGATCCAATTTGAAATGTCAAGTTGGATGTGCAAACGTGTGCTATATAATGGTCACGGTTTGGCCACAAATCCCTTTTAAATTACTATGTTTTGGCTTTACAATAGAGACGAAATTCAACTTTTTTTTATTTTAAGGTAATTTTTATTAAAATTTACAGTATCTTCTATAATAATGTAAGAAAGATTGGAAGGGGGTGAAGTAAAAATTAAACGTAATCGATTCTTAGATGAATTAAATTACGCTCGTTTCCGCTTCCATAGAAATTACGGCAATAGTTGACCGTTCACAAATAAAACTTGAATACCGCAGACTAATAAGAACAGAATAAACAAAATACAACCAATATCATTGACGAAGATGATGAATTATTGTATTTGAGCTTTGATTATAATTTCTTACTAATAGATACCTACACTAGGTAAGGATGGTAAATAAATTGCATGAGACTGAGAGCAAGCAAGTATGGAAAAATGTATGCGATAAAACACGTCTTAAATTAATTATTTATCTATACTAATATATATACTAATATTATATAGAGGTAAAGTTTGTGAGTTTGTGACGTTGTAGGGGGTAATCTCTGGATCTACTGAACCGATTTAGATGAAATTTGGTAAGCAGATAGTTTCAGACCCAGGAAAGGACATAGGATACTTTTTATCCTGGAAATCATCCCTTAAGGGTGGGGGCAAATGGGAATGAAAGTTTGTATGGGAAATCGAGGTAAGGACGAACCCGAGCGAAGCGGGGGTGAATCGCTAGTAAGAATTAAAATAGTTTAACCGATTGTACTATTTATTTGTTTTCATAATGTATCATAGACTAATAAATAAACAAAATCACGATATATCTACACAAGAAAACAATTCAAATGTTCAATGATTTCCTGATTTATTATTAACTATCGACAAATGTTCTTCTATACATATAAAAAATTGTAACTAAGCCGAATCTGTACATTAAATATTTTTGGAAAATCTTATTGAAATAAACTTTATTATCAGAGGCCGAATCTATTGTTTTTAAGATTTTTTGTCTGTCTGTCTGTTACCGCATCACGGGAAAACCACTGGATAGATTTTGATGAAATTTGGTATGATGATACCTGCTTATCCGAATCAACATATAGGATACTTTTTACTGCGGGAAAATATCTCATTTCTGATAAATCTATACTAAACGTTAAAACGTAACTAGGGACGAACCGAGCGAAGGTGAGTCGCCAGTCTTATATAGAGTACAATCTCAATAACTCTTAAAGCCAGTAGAGTTCAAAATGTTTTATTGTTATTAGGTATATTGAATCTTTTGTACCTATACAGTAAGTAATTATGTACCGCTATTTATTAGCCTATTATCATCCAAATTAGTTTGACGAAAGATTGCATTAGAATTTAGAACTAGTTGTCTGTGGATTTAACTAATTCTGGGCTATACGGCGGTAAACAACTTATACAGGCGTGTACATACGAAGGAGTGGAGAGGAACGACATTAACATAATTGGAGGTCGGTGGTGGTAGAACCGGTTTAATGTCTCGAGTCCAGTACTGGTATGACGTCATCAATGACATCATCACAAGAAATTCTAAAAGTTTGTGTATAAAAATAACATGTTATTCGTGTTGGCAAAAATAAATTTACATATATCATGAAAAATATGAACTAAAAACAACGGTGTAGACTGTAGCGTAAAGCGCATAACTTCTCATAAGGTTGATCTTCTTTTTACCTTGCGTTCGTACCTCGTTTAATGTTTGTACAAAATTATTGTATTCATTTATGTTATAATCTACTTACTACTACCCTATACTTATTTATGTCTAATATTATAATAGTAAACGGATAGTAAACAGGTATTTTATCTCCTTTTATGCCGTATGTTGTTTTGTGCTATAGTTTGAAGATCAATGCAAAAAATAGCCCTCAAAGGATGTTACAAAAACTAATTATGATTGGCAGGAAGTAATTCAAGCTAAAGCGAAACATTATAATTGAAATTCCCATTAATATCTTCTCCACACAAGCCTAACTCACATTTAGCAAATGTTTAGAGTTCCGTAAGCAGAAGATAACCAAGCTTTGAAGCAACCCTGAACAATTTCATATTGTACTTCTTTTCTTTGAGTCGTTTTTCATTCATCTATTGCTTTAATATTTTGATTTGCAAAGGAAACAAACGTACATATTTTTACGTTTAACCCTATCAGTTATAACCTTTGCATAAGAATGTCAGAGTTTTCGTCATAGTTTTGATAAAATATAAGCCCTTGTTTATAGAAAGCAATAACAAGAAAAAGGGCATAAACGAATTTTACAAATCTTTGATATTTAAAAAATAATATCACGTATAAATTTTATACCTTGATAATATTGCAAAATGCTCAAAATAACAAATTAAAAAAAAAAGCCGACGACGAAAAGTATTTTGTAGTAGGCGCGGTGATTACTAGAAACGTTGATGGAATTTTATTAATAACTGTATAAACAAAATGCTGTATTTAGGTCGCCACTCGGTAGGCACTCCTATACGACCACCGCCCATCTCACCCCCTAATATAAGCCACCCTCATAGCACGAATAACGAATACATTTTGAATATAGTACAACAGTGGAAAAAAAACCTTGTGATCACCATGCGTGATTCGATTGATAAATATTAGTATTGTAGTTCAGGGTGTATCTAATATGATAGGTAATATTAATACTAACGTAATTCAGATTAGAAGGTATCGTTCTTTAATAAAAAAGCGTATTTTATTAGAAAATAAGTAGAAACCATAATCAGAAACCATCATGTCTCAGGTCATTACACTTACGAACGGAATGCGAACTCGGGGCTGATATATTGTTTACGTACTTGACCGTACCATCACATGAAATCTATTACTTACATATTTAGAAATATATGATTAAATAGTGGTTGAAATCACAAGTTCTATTTACACTTAGCCAGTTTATATTGGGTTTTGGTCATTTCAGAGTAATAATAACAAAATGTTTGACGGATATATACGTTAGCCAAAAGTAAAAAGAATAAACTCTTTTAAACTGCATTGTAAATGTTTTAATGACTGTACTTTATACGCTTCAACGCCGATGGGTCATGGGACAGACGAACGTACGGCGAAAGCGCATTATTAAGGGTAATACAACTTTTGAATTTAATTAGTAAAAGAAATTATTTAAATAACTAATAACCAATTGAAATTAAAGAAGTAAAAGTTAATTATGTGTTTTAACTTTAGCAGTGTAGGTATCTATCTACACATGGTTTATCATTGCTTAGCTTACCTAGCAATGAGCTGTTGTTTAAACTTTATTTTAATAACAACATTGATGTGGTCAGTAAGTCTTTTTAAAGGTTAATGGTATAAACTTTTAAAATGTTTAATGCATCCGTAAAGGTTAACTTTATCGTGTTAGTAAACACAACAGATTTTTTTCTAGCAAAATTTTTACTAAAATAATATTAAAAATCAATTAATTACCAAAAATTTTTTTATAAAGCTCCTATTTTCTTAATCCATTCACGATTTAGTTCTTTCTCAATACACAAAAACTTCTTTATTAACTTATACAAAAAAACATTTCGATTTTTTTAAATTTCGTGACGCGATTTTGTTGCGTTTCCTTTACGCAACCGATTCGCACAGACTGACAGACTGTACTGAAATCTGAATGTGAATTGTGATTTGTGATTTGTGAATGAAATTTGAAATGACACAAGAAAACATTTAATTTCGTTCAATAATAAGTTATTTTTTACTAGGTACTAACTATATATGTAGTATAATGTTGAACGCTTATCACGACTAAGGTTGAAATAATAAATGTTACTAAAAAATTTATATATATTTACATAAACCATTATTATTAATTAAAATTTTCTAGCTATTTTTAAACTTAGATAATTTATTTAGGCATATTTTCATTCATTTATATTTTGTTTAAATAATAATCAATTATTTATTATTTTGATTGTTGAACGCACCTAGGTATAAAATACATAAATGTCACTGTCATTTACGTTTGCGTCGACTCCGACCTCTATGTTCCAACATCCCTTAGTTTTTTTTCAAAAAAAAAGGAAAAGCTGTAGGCTATATTAATTTTCTCTTTAGTATTTTAGATTTTGAAACAACTTAATATATTATATTAGCATTCAGTATCGTTATCTATTTATCCTACATCTGAGAATGTTTTACTTTAAAAATCGAATGAAATAGTTAACAATTTAGAGAATTGTGTATAATGGCTCCTGGTAATAAGGAGCGACATCCAGGACACACGGGCACTATACCGAAAACTAAAGTGAGGAACAATTGTAATGTGCCACAAGAAGCTGTAACACCGACTCGACGAGACATGGCAACTAATCTAGTGACGGTAATACTCTGAATTTTACACTTTGTAAATTATATTAGTTTTACCTCAGGCCGTATACTTTTTCCTAGAGCATGTTTCATTTCACTCTTGATGAGTGTGTACTTTGATGGAGCTGAACAAACCTGAAGTTTTTGCGGATCACATACATTAATGTGTATTTTTAGAAAATTATGAACGCCAAACATATTGGATAACTGCCAGCATATTCTGTAATGTTGTACTCATGCTGAGATCAGGAATTCTTTTTGTTCTATTAATATTAAATTTCAGTCTATTCAATTTTAATCAACTTATTAGATCTTTATTACTTCCCATATGGGTGGTTGTTTTTCAAAATTGAAGCAAAAAAAGGTAGCAGATAGAAAATTTTATATTCTGATACCATCAACTTTGGATAAGAATTGCCTTGTGTGAGTTTTGTGTAATAAAGACAGTGCAAAATTTTTTAGACTTCTCTGGATTGGGTTCCAGTTTCAGAATATAATGCAAGATCAAATTGTAATCAAACAAGAAAACAAACAAACAACACATCAGACCAAGAATTAACAGATTTAGGTAAGCAAGCCTCTATAATATTTATAAAGGTTTCTTAAAACAGATTTTAGTTTAAAAAAGAGTAAACATGATAAATAACTGATAATAATAAATTTGATAATTATATGTTGTGAATGTATATAAAAGACTTTCTCAACATAACATTTTCGAATGATACATTGTTTGGGGGTCTAAGTATAGAGAGAATGCAGAAATAACAACTGGTAAAATATAGCACCCAGTTCTTCACTTTTAAACAAAACTATGATTAAAAATACATTACTTTTCTATTCTAATTTTAGACAATTCTGTGTCATTTGAAAGTGGATTTGGAAGATTTGTTCCTGTGAGGCCACAGCCTCGGGCTCTGCCTTTAACTGTGCAAAATCGTGAAGCTTTAACTGCAGATCATCATGATGACAGTGCTTCTTCTTCCTCTCACACGTTACATCCATATGCACACCAAATGCAAAATGGTATGTACTCTATTTCATTAATAATTGCTTAATTCTTATATTATGTCACTTGGTAGAAATGAACCTTCTAAATACAGAAATTATGCTAATATTATTTTAAGCTTTTGTTTATTTATGAATTGGTCAGTTTCATCTATATATAATATATTTGTATTCTCCTAATAATAAAAAAAAAAAAATACCACAATATGTGATGCTCGCACAACACATTACCATCCTCCACTTCTACCTCTTTTTCTTTCTTTTCATCTTTCACACAATTAATATACCTATCTTGGTCTATTCCTACATCTATATCTATCCATATTTATACAAAACACTTCAGTATTAGACTTTCATCTCTCTTTATGATATGTGCATATAAGTTATATAACTCCTACTTTCAAGATTCCTTTTCTCCTCCTAGCAATGCATACATCCACCTGAATATTTACATATCTACCACACAAAGGATGGTACCCCTTACTTATCTGTTCTTTAGTTTGCCTAACACTCTGATCCATACATTACAATAGGTTTTATTATGGTCTTATAAATTTGAGTTTCATGGACACATATTTTTCCCAAACCTGTTGCCATTTTATAAAAGAAGAAATTATGTGTACTATATATTATTATCTTGATATAATAGAATATACACACATTATTATTTAAAATGACTTAAATTATTGGTTGGTACTATTTATCTTATTATGTTAATTCTATACAGGTCTAATTCCACATTCAAATCATGCAGCAGCTGCTGTTATGATAGTTAACCCAACAACACCAAATGCTGTTGCAGGGAATATGTCACAACAATTTAATGTAAGTTAAATAAAGCTTATTTTAATTAGCTTTTGGTTTTTACTTTTTACATAAAATTTATTTAATATTATTCCTTAATTTGTAGAGTCCAAATCAAAATAGAAACAATCTGACAAGGAATTTAAATTCCACTCGCAATACCTTTGAAGGAAGCAATTCTAATAACAATAACACTCAAACCATAACACATTCAAGATCTGGTACAAAATCTGTTAATTTGATAAAAAACATGTATGATCAGGGTCAAGGCAGCTTCAACAATATAAATGAAAACAACCTTGTAAGTAGGGTATAACTTTATTTTATAATATTGATTGTTTTAATTTGAGTGATTATAAGATCTAAATATTATAAAAATATTTAAGGTTCATAGAGAATCAGCCAGGGCTCTTGGAGAGGCGATAGTGGCCGCATGTCCCGATGCTGCGGCAGTGGAAAGACGCCTAGGACAAATCAGGGAATATATACGTGTCACATCTTCCCTTGTAGACACGATGCGAAATTCTGAAGATGAGGTTTGTATTTCTTAGTAGCATATTATAACTTACTACCTAATAAATTTTAAAATTTTGATTTTTCTCTACCTACCAGAAAGTTAAACTCAGTTGATCTGATCCGGAGATTTCTGGGTACAAAAAGATTTCTTTTTTATATTATAGACTTAATATTGTGCAAACAATCATGTCTCCACTATTAGTTACAATTGTTCTATTTAGGTTCAGTCTATTTAAATTTATATAGCATATATTAAAAATATATAATATGTATGATTATGTAATTTAGGCATTTATTGAGCACACAAAGGAAGAATACGATGAATTAGTAAAAATGGTAATGCAGTTGAAAGAAAGTGAAACAAAACTAGAATCTATGCTTACTGAAAAGAAAACTGAAAATACTGAAGTCCCAAATGAGGATTCAAGTCAATCGTCCAGTCAAGTACAAGACATAATTGAATCAGAAACTAAAATCGAGGGGGTACCGGAAAAAATAATAAATCAAGATAAAACTTGTAATATTAAAACTAATAATGATAACAGCATGGTTCACAATTTGAAAAAAGTTACAAATATTGAAAATGAACATTTGAATAAAACTTTAACGAATGCCAAAATCAGTGATGACATACAAGTTTCGAAAGAAATGTCTAAATCAAATGAAACTGAAGACAATGTTGACCAATTCGGAAGTAACACATTAGAAATTAAAGAAATAGAGTCAATACCTTGTCCTGAAAGTGAGGTAAAAAAAGATGATCAACAGCTAAATGATATTTTAAGGAAAAATATCATGGCTTGCATGGAAAAGATAACATTCATTCAAGAATTGAAAATTAAAAACAAAGATTCTAGTATCGCCGAAAATCAGGTTCCATACTGTCGTTGTGTGCCGTGTGTGTCGATATGTCTTCCACTAAAATAGAGCATGACTTATATTAAACAGAAATTAACCATTTCTAACAAACTCATATCGCACACGAAAATGATACCGAAATTTTCTTCATTTTAGGAATAATGATTAATAGAGACCTGACTTTGTATGATTTTTTTTGCTTTAAACTATTTAATTTCAGTTCTTGTTAAAAGTAGAGTTTTTTTGTTGTTTTCGTTTAACCCTGTTATTTTTATTTTATTTTTTATCTATTAATAAAATTAATAGTTTTTTGTTTTTCAGCAAGATGTAGTTGTAAGGCCAGTGTCGGTTCAAAGTAATGGATCTACCTACAGCGAAAATGAACTTTGGCAGAATGAAATCAAAAACAAAATGGAAATCTCTCAGATTCGTCTCACAGCTCTTAAGCAACAGCAAAAGAGGCTTCTTAAGTATCAGGCAGAAGCTAAACAGCAACTGGAAGAATTACACAAAGAGAGACAATCTCAAGAAATACATCATCCATCGACATCGCATGAAAACTTTAATGGAATGCAGGTATTTTTTTAATCCATACCAAGCTAATTTTCATTGCTTATTTAGATTCACGAGTGATAATTAGATTAATAGCATACTTTTATATAAAATTAGCGACTCACCGTCACTCCACTGGGTTTCGTCCCTAGATACGTTTTAACGGTTAGTATCGATTTCTCGGAGATGAGATATTTTTTTTGGATAATCAGCTATCATCATACCAAATTTCATTAAAATCTGTCCAGTGGTTTGCTCGTGATGTTTTCCCAGACAGACAGACATTCAAATATTCTAAAAACTATAGATTCTGCCTCTGTATCGATAATAATGAATATTTGAATAAGATTTTCCAAAAAATATTTCATGTACACATTCGACTCAGGATTTTATTATATGTATAAATAACACAATGATGATTCTCTAAACACATTATACCCTTTAAGGTGGATACAATTTTCATACTGAATATGTAAACTAAGACATAATTCATTTTCAGAACTTAACTTTAAGTGCTAATTACCACCAACCCAACCGCATGTACGGCGCGAACCAGGTCGGCGTGGCGACCACGCTGCCGCACGCCGCGGACGGCGAGCGCGCGCCCTCCGCGCACAGCCACGACGACCGGTTCTCTCTGCGGGACGGCAACATCGCCAGCAGCGAGGTAATCTACATATTGAGAGTTATGATTGTTGTCTGTAAATGGCGTTATTAGTATGTTGTATGTATGATTAAAACCCAAACAAAAGATAATTAGCCCTTTTTAACGTCCCACTGCTGGGCACGAGCCTCCCTTCAGTACGAAGGGAATCAGGCCATAGTCCATCACGCCAAGTGCGGGTTGGCGGACTTCACATGTCTTTCGAAAACTTGCTAGGTATTCTCAAACATGCAGGGTTCCTCACGATGTTTTCCTTCACTGTAAGGCAAGTGGTAATCGTTTTAGAAATCATTCGCACATGAAAATAGCAGAGGCACAAAACCCGGGATTTGAAACCGCTTCACTCGGTTTCCCAATCGTACCACTTGTTACCACTGGGTTACCACTGCCTTTACTAGTAACTTACTAGTAGCTCGTTTAAATTCTGAAAAACGTTGGCAAGATTTTCATCTCACACCATAAGATTTTTTTATTTTAATCATTTTGTCTTTAAATAATATTCTTTGGCTCATGAGGTAATATACTTTGGCTCATGAGGTGTATAAATTTTGTGGACCAGACGATTCGACATTAATTAGGCAGTTGTTAGTCCGTATTACGATTGTATGCACGCGACTGCAAGGCGGTATATTACTAAAAAAAATGACAACGTTACTTATGTTATTTTCTATTAATAATAATATAAAATGTTAAGGGCCAAAAGAATACGTTTTCAAAATGGCATAATCTGCATAGAAAAAAGTAATATTCGTAATATTACACGTAAAATATGTAATCTTTATATTCAATATTCATATTATATTAATCTTCTAAAAATAACAAGAATGACGTATGAGAATGATTATGTTGAATCAAACTAGAGCAAACAAATTGCTATTGAATACCACTTATTATTAAGTATTGACAAGTGCCAAGCGGCTTCACCACAGACCAGCTCGATGATATCAAATTATATTATCACTCCCATTTCATATATAAACAAAGTTTAAAATCGATACCACAATTATAAAAAGGTCAGGATGTACTTCTAAGATTATGTTACATATGAGTTACTAGCGACTCACCCTCGTTTCGCTCGGGTTCGTCCCTAGGTACATTTTAATTTTTTGGAGCGGAACCATAATTCTTTTACTGAAATAAAAATAGCCTAAGTTACTCCTTATAATATCAACTACCTGCCAGTGAAAGTCCCGTCGAAATCGGTCCAGCCGTTTCTAAGATTAGCCGGAACAAACAGACAGACAAAAATTTTAAAAATTGTGTTTTTCTTATAAATACCGAATATAATTCCATATGCATTTAGTAAAAAGCTGTTATTTTGACATTATAACAGACACTTCAATTTTATTTATCTGTATAGATTTATAAGTGAAGTTAATAAAATAGTTTATATCAATTACGCTTAAATATGCGCTTCACCCAGGAGGCAGCCGGCGGCGGCCGCGACAGCGAGGCGGAGGAGGACGAGGGCATGCTCACCGAGCGCGAGCGCGTGTTGCGGCTCAAGCTGCAGGAGTTGCAAATGAAAAAACAACACATGGAGAACTTAGTAAGTATATTCTCTGTTAAATATAAATTATATGATTTAATATTATTTTCAAACTTTTTGCTCTACATGTTCCAATTTATAACAGATATAAAAATTAGTTTTTTTTATATAAACTTTAATTCGCTAGTATACATGTAAGAAAAATGTATGTATTTGTCGTATTTTAAATGTTCTATTTATTGTCATATAGGTGTCAGAGTTCCAAAAACTTCAAATGGCGACTAGACTCGGCAGCTCACATAATACTTATTCTAGTTCTAACGAAGACAGTGCAGATGAGGAGCCATCACGCAAATGTAAGTGGTCTTGTTTATCGCCTTTTAGGGAAAAGATATACATATATCTATTTTATAAATACAAACTGTCACACATCAAAATAATTTGCATCTTACAATGAATTTGTCGATTTAAGACTAATGCTCCCATCGAAATAATATTTAGTATTTAATTGATTGCATTCATTTTAGGCAATAAACCAGGCGTGAATCTCAAAAATGAAGATCCATTCAAGCTGATGGAAATAAAGGCTATAAAAACTGCCTTACAGAAAACCAAAGGTAGGGTAATAAAAAAGTAAGATTTATTAAGCAACATATCTGCCTGTTTAAGCATTACCTGATGAATTTTTATGTTATGATGGCTAGTAAATACAATGCTATTTAAATCTCTAAATTTTTTAAGTAAATAGTATAAAATTTTCTATTTTGGTGAACTACGAGAAAAACTATATAGTGACGTTTGAGACGTCTAGAACCTTAGCCTCTCTCGTGACTACGATTTATGTAAAGCACAATCAAAAATCAAAATAAATACGCGAAAAAATTTAAAAAGATATGCATAGGGTAAAAGCCGGATAGTTGCCCCACTTTTTGAAAACCTCCAATTACATAAAAAATAACTATCTACTTACAATATGTTCTGTGTATAATAAAACATTGGTCTTTAATCTTTCATTGTGACCTATTTTTTTAAATACAATGAATATAGTTTTTCAGTAAATCCTGTTTTATTTGACCTCTATAAAAGGGGATAGTTGCCCTCTGTGGCGGATAGTTGCCTTATGTTAAAAACGCTTTGGGGGATACTTGCCTCATGTGGGGGGAGAAGCCAACTCCTACCGGGCGCGTCCCCAGGTGGCGGATAGGGGAATGCCACCCGCTTAGGGCGGCGGGTGGTACCGGAGAAATCCGGCGCGGACCAAATGGCTTGGATGGGGCCGCTCGTCTAGGCCTCGAGCCGAAGACGTTGCGGCCACCGGTGGTGGGACCGCTTGGTCCCACAACCGGATGATGGGTGCCGGTTGCGGGACTGTGGTCGCAGGTCCGCATCCGGCGGAGGGGTAGGCCGCGGCGGGAGAGGAGTGCCGGTATTTCGGTGCGCCGTTCTCCCTACCTTCCGCGGCCTAGACGGGGCCGCCACCGTTTGATGGCGGACGCGGTGGGGCTGCAGGGGAAGAGGAGTGTCGGTGTTTCGTTGCCGCTCTCCCTGTCCTCTGCAGCCGATTGGAGGTGGCCCACTTCGGTGGGCAGTGGTTAGGTTTAATGGGGCTGCTCCGGGTACCTCTCTGGCGTAGCAGAGTTGACTGTGGAGCAGCCCCATCGGTTTGGTGGTCTGCCTAGCGTTTAGGCAGACCTGCCGCCGGGGCGCCGTAGTCGTTATGCGCAAGCGATCCTGCGGCGTCCCATTAAGGCGGAGGGGAGGGGAATGTCGGGTTTTAGTGGGTAGTACCGGCTCTTCTAGCCGGTGAGCCCCACATCACCACCTGGGGGATCAGGTGGTATGCGTAAATGCATTTCCCGACATAAAAAAAAAAAAAAAATGTGGGGATAGAAGACTCATCATGAAATTGTTGCAATTTTTTTTGGATTAAAACAAATATATGTAAATTTAATCAACCATTATTAACATAAATTAATTAAGTAGTAGGTTATTACTAATCGAAATCAATACAACTTTTAAAATACAAATAAAATCTCCAAAATTTAAGTTATAGATAATAATTAACTTTAAAGAAAAAACCAATATGGTAACAAACAATAAAAAACAAAACTTTGACATGAATATTAAAATTAGTGGGTAGGTTATCATTTTAAAAATCATCATCAATCACGAAGTCATAACTTTTAATTTTCCACATCTCACACAATATTCTTTGAATGATGAACGAGTTTCCTGGAAATACAATTCAGTACGATTTGGATTTAGTATAATTGTAATTTTCAATACATTTACAATAATTATCAACTGAAACTTTATCATTCGCTTTTTCTATTTTTTGTATTAATGTTAATAACTTTTACTGTCTTTTCAGTCTCTCTTATCATCTTTAATTTTATTTCTTTTTTGTACTCCTTTAGTGGTTTTTTCATTGGCTATTTTTGTATTTATAATGTCTTTTTTCATTTTGTCTCTTGGAACTATAAGTCTGTTATATGTCATCCTTAAAGCTCTTTCTCCGCTCAGTTTAATTAAATCTATGTTTTCAAATTCTGTTTCACTGCGAGAGATCTCGCCATATTTTTTGATCTTTTACTTTCGTTTCGACCTCTTTTCTTCATAATTATCATCTCGTTATCAGCTGATTATTTTCTACTGTCTTAGAATCTTTTTATTTCGTTGTCTCCAATCTAGTTCTTTTTCTAATGTTTGTTTCTTCTTTTTGATCCTGTTTTTGGATAATTTTTCATTGAAATTTAAACCTTCTGTAGACTGTTTATTAGCCCTTTTAGACATGCTAAACTCTTGCTCATATTTGTGAGGCATTTCGCCTACCTACAACACTAACTGTCCTTAGGGCGACTATCCGCAAAATTATATGGGGCGACTATCCTTTTCGGTACGGATACTTGCCCTTATATTTTGAAAAATAAATAAATGATATTCGACAGTTTAAGTTAATAGGTTAGGTTAGCGCGTAGAAGCAAAAAGCTGACTGAATCGATAACTGTAAAAAAAAAATTCAATAGAAAATACACACGTATATAACTTCAACGCTCGTTAACATCCTACCGCGGAAGATTTTCGCTAACACGGAGAAAACACGTTTACCTAGTCCTAATACTGGCATCGTCCTAAGGTCTGTGGAAGAGACGCTTCAAACTACAGAAGAGCGCTAACATCAGGGACATCTCTAATATAGCGTATTGAAAACAGGGGCATGTATCCCACTGAGGCGACTATCCGGGGTTTACCCTATTATATCCACATGTAATACGTCTGTCTCCCTTATTTTATATATTCCATTATTTTTAGATCTCATGCGGTCGGTAGAAACTTTTGAAGCAGATAACTTATCTGGAGTACACGAGGACACCTTCCATATGCCTAGTCATTCAAGTCATTCAAACATACACGACAAGTAAGTTGAGTAGTTAGTCGCTTTGTTTTTAAAAATATTGTTTGACGAAAAAAGTTAGTTATATCCGGCAACGTTAAAGCCGTTGTCCGACGATCAATTGTCATTTAAAAGTATTAGTAGGGAAGTCCAAGAGGGGATTTTTGCAGTTACACAAGTGAGGCAGATTAACATAAGGGGCATACATAGCACTGTTGAGTACCTCAGATCAGATGAGTTGAGATTAAGGAATGGTGGGCTTATTACATCCTGAAAAGTGTGCAATTTTTTGATCTTTCAAGTTTTGTATCGATCCTGCAAAAAATCGTATGACCTCGATCCGATCTGAAAATCGCCGGATCGTATGCCTGCCGATCCGATATCGGCACATCCCTAGTTCACTCGCGGATCTTGCAGTGAAGTGTTGACTTTATCTGTTACGGACGCTTGTAACAAAACGTACACGAGACAAAAGTGCCACTATCAATGCCAAGATGAATCGCCCAAAGATTTTTGGTAAAAAAATCTTCACTGAAAATAAAGATAATTTAAGTGAGAATGATAGTAGCGAAGAAGAATAATATTTTTATATTATTATTATTGATATGAAACGGTTCTGGCATAGTTTACAGTTTCTTTTTTTGTATTATTGCATTATAATTATTTACAGTAAATAAAATAAATGTTATGTTGCAAATCCACATTTACATACCGAGATAAAGATAAATGTGATTGTTTCATATTGCTCCTACTGAACATTATCGTGGGATCTACCTTGGGTTAATTAACCCCTTAATTATGCGGTTTGCCTATAGACACCTCTGCGTGACGACCGTATGAATCAATCGGGGCTGCCAGATAACTGTCGTTGGTTTGTCCGACCAATAAACCACATAATACCCGGTTTATCACGCCGGCGCGGCGCCAACCATGAGCAGAATATCCGATAATAGTTTTTTTAAGTAATTTATTCATGTTTTATATAGAATAAAAGAAAATACTAATGTTAGGAAAAGAAGTCATCGTAACCAGTTCTCAATTAAACAGCTGTAAATAAAAAATAAAACTTTAAATATGAAATAAATCAGCTAAACTAAAATACCTGCTTTCTTCTAAAACACCTGTCTAAATTACCCGCCATCAAATATCGCCTAAAATTACCCGCTTTTCGGGTAATTCACCCGCCAAACGGCAGCACCGGAGCCAACAGCCCTCGGGCGTCTGTTGCAGCAAGTCGGAGGGCGGCTGGTCGGAGGGCAGCGTGTGCCGCGTGCGCAACGCGCTGCCGCCGCGGCGCAAGCTCACCAACGAGCGCCCGCACGCGCCGCCCGCCCTCGCGCCGCACGCCCTCGCGCCCGCCCTCGCGCCCGCCCTCGCGCCGCACGCGCAGCAGAGTGAGCGTCTGATCTTCTAATACTGCTAATGTTATAATCTTTTGAAATATATATATATATATATATATATATATATATATATATATATATATATATATATAGTGAAATACATTCTAGTTTATTTAGTATAGAGAATGTAAAACCTGAAATTAGAACATTTGCTAAGCATTGATAAGATTATTATATTTTGATTTTTAATGTAAATCTGATTACGTTTAAAAGAAATATTATTATATTCAATTTTCAAGTACAATAAATATAAATATCATAAATTTATAATAACACAATAAAATTCAAATGAATAAAAATTAAAACTGTAATCAAATACATATTTTTAGTTCTCTATATTTTTAATGCTCAAAAAAATCAACTATTTTGGTGTACGAGTTTCAAATATTTCAAAATAATAATATAATAACTCCTAACAATTTTAGATTACTTCATAAATATTCCTCTTGGCTTATACATCTACTCTAATAAATATATATGTATACATTTAGGTCATGAAGCTAACATAAACTCTCTACAAGAGCTAGCCCAGGAACTGCGCATGGAGACGGAGAAGATAATGGGTGAACGTGCGCATATTAAAGATTTGGTGATCATTAAAGGTAAATAACATTTATATAATAACTATATTAGTACATATTATTGAGTATTTTAATTATGTAAAACTATGTTTATTTAGGTTTTTTTCGCTGTTTTATTTAATTTTTATTCCCCGCGACGTTTCGAAAATTTTATAGTAAATTTGGACAAAGAGAGATAGTATTAGGCGAGATGCTAAAATAAATTTAATTTAAATTGTCAAATATTCGCGTATATCTGAGAAAATATTGATTAAGCACATACAGTATAATAAATATTAAAATCACTCTAAAAAACGCTTCATATTGTGTATCTAAGATCAATAAGCAACCTCAAGACCTTCAGTGCACAAGCTCTTGTGAATAATCTAAGAATACAACTGAATTGATCGAAAGAGCATGGGACGTAAAACCTAAAACTTTTAGGTATACCAAAAATCACAAATCGATTTTTATATATAAAAAGTAGTACATAGTTTATAAACTATGGCTGTGTCATTAGATTATACCTTAATATTTTACTACATACTTGTAAGTTCATATATTTTTTATACTCACTAGTGACTTACCCTCTTCCCGTTCAAGTGCGTATCTAATTGCCTAACAGCATATTATGTGTTACTTCAGGTCATAGTATATTTGATTGACACTTTTCATCCAAGCCCGTCTACCATTCCGTTTCAGTGTGAAGAAGTAACAAACAAACACTTTTGAACAGTTAAGTGAATCACATACAAAGCATAAGTAGTTCGATATTCAACCAAGATAGTTTATACACTCAGGGCTGGATTAACCCTATCAGGGCCCCTAGGCAATGCAAATGTCCGTCGGGGTTCGCGGAGGAGTCTCCGGTTCCCGTGGCCCCGACCTTGAGGCGACTGAGGTGGACACCGTCAGGTTTTAGTGGGTAGGCTGCCGCGCGTTTACCATCTTTGCGCGGCAGGAGCCCCACATAACCCGTCGTTCTTCCCCAGGCGGCGGGTACCCGGCAACAGGGTTTCCTGACGATGAAAAAAAAAAAAAAAAAGAAAAAGGCAATGCAAATGCAATGCAATTCTCGGGGCCCCTTGCGTTTACCCTTTTCTGACTTTTTAAAATACATTTTTTCTATTACAAAAGTCGAGTCAATAAGATCGACTCCTTTGGTATCCTATTACTTCAATCTCTTATGTGATACTAGCGGCTCACCGTCGCTTCGCTCGGGTTCGCCTCTAGAAAAACAATTCAAATCTATCCTTCGGGAACCGTATATTTTTCCGGGCTAAAAAGTAACCTATGTGTTGTTCCACACTATAATCAATTTCTGTGTCTTTCATCCAGATCCGTTCAGCCGTTCTGACGTGAACGAATAACAAACATCCATACACTTGATGCTACAATAAAATACAATAAACGAAAAAAAATAGTTTTATGAAGTATAATAAGTTTAAATAGCAACTCTTCTTACTCTTTTAGATACAAAATCGTTAAAAACATCTTGAAAGTTGACCTTTTCCAATATACTACTGTTATATTGTTAACTGACACGCCGGTGTGTCCGTGTCCGTGTTGATAATTATAAAATTTAGTCATAGTTTTGTTAAAAAATTAAAAAAAATATCATATAAAATATTTTTATATTTTCAAAAAGTAGAGTTCAAGACAAAAAGAATGGGCCCTATCCGAAAGTTGAACAAATTTTTTTTTTAATGTAAACACCTACTTAAAGTTGAAGGTGATTTTCAGCCTCTCGAGACCATAAAACATACTTTTCTCGGAAATGGCTAAACATGTAAAAAGTGTTATTTATAAAAGTTGTAGATTTTTATTAAACCTACAACTTTTGTAGAAAACAATTTTCGATAGAACGTCACAGTAAACCGGAAATTAAAAAAAAACTATTTTTCAACGCTTTGCGCCCCCGTCATTTCTCGGGGGTAGCTGGGCATAGGAGGCATTTTACGAATTTCCATTCCTAATAAATATACCTGCTAACAGTTTAAAACTCATAAAAGGTTTTCAATATTTTGTTCCCAAACCGGATTCCGATTGGAATACTAATGATCTGCTATGTTTATTTTTGGTGTTAGATTTTATTATGTTTATTGTAGGATCCCACTATGATCGTAGTACCCAGACATCTTCTCTATTGAAGTTTGGGTGTTTTTTGAATTTCAATAGCTTACCTATATCGTCAAATACAGCTATATTTAGTTCTACTATGCATGAAGTATTTCAGCAACTGACAACATGCGTCGAAAAAAAGGAATAATATTGAGAAACTATACAAATGTTAAAAAAAAATTCGTTCGGTGGAACGTTTTTTTTGTCTTGGTGCGTGCACGGGGCCCCTAGTCGATGCGGGGCCCCTAGACAGTTGCCTAATCCGCCTTATGGATAATCCGGTCCTGTATACACTACACATATATAACTTTAAATACATACAATATACATATTATCAATATAAACACCCATGACTGATGATGCCCCCAGCGGGATTCGAACCCACGACCGCTGGCACAGCAAGCAGGGTCACTACAAACTGCGTCAAAATATATCAATAGTAATTCAATAACAAAATATTATGTCTCCTTATTGTTCCTAGAGCGCAAACAAAAGAAGGTGAACGAAGAGGTGCGCGCGCCGCCCGCGCCGGCGCCCGCGCCCGCGCCGGCGCCCGCGCCCGCGCCGGCGCCGGGCCCCGCCGAGCGCCGCCAGCTGCAGCTGCGCGCGCTGCTCGCCGACAAGCAGCGCGAGCTCGAGGCGCTGCTCAACAAGGAGGTAAATATCACTCCTAATCCATCCATACATTAGGCGACCGCCCATTCATTTTAACTATGGAAGGTATATGAGGAGTACTATCTCTGCGATGAAAAAGTGACTGTCAAAACGCGTCGAATAAATGTGGCGCCTCCGTCGGCAACAGCTAAATTCTTATTATAGTTATCGTAGTTTTTCGTACGCCAGCAACCTTTATATTGGACACTCCGTCTAAAACAGCTAAATTCATATCTTAGTTTTTTACGCTTGCGCCATCTACAATTTTCTGCATACAGATTGGACTTTTTCAGTTTGTCTCCCCTAGTAGTAGTACTGCTTACTTCTATATTCCATAATTTTAGCGAAAATGCTGTCAAATGCAAGGAATTGTAACGTCATAACAATTAAAAAAAAGTAAGTGTAGTCTTTTTAAATAAAACTATCTTTTCGGATTTTTTCGCGTATTTATTTGAATTTTTGGTTCCCGACGTTTAGAATGCTTTACAGCAATCATGGTCACGGGAGAGACTGAGGTGTTAGATGTCTCTAAGGTGTCGAAGGAAGGAACCAAAAATCCAAATAAATCCGCGAAAAAAACCGAAAAGATAGTTTTGTTTAAAATGTCAAATATTCGCGCAAATATAAGAAAGTATTACGTGTAGTCTGTTCATGAGGGAGCTACCATCGGTGCCAAAAAAAATTCTGCTGAGAAAACAGCAAGGATTGTCACAAGTACTTATTTTTCATGGCGAACGGTTTCGAAGTTTTATAGTTCCATCTCGTGGCGAGTTACAGTTATACCTGACAACCCTAAAATTGATTCCGAACTGTCATATACTCGTAGCTCTGCGAATAGTAGACCTCGCGAGCACAAACAGCATTTTGAGAAGCTGTTTTGCTCATCACACCGATAATTCTCATCAGATCTTCACCAATTTTTATGAGACCAACGTAAAGTTACAACCTTACAAAAAAAGAACCATCGAAATCGGATTTTATAAAGCGTAGCCCTCTTTTTGCACTTTTTTAAGGGAGTACCAGAAAATTCCTGACGATAAAAAATCTATAAAGTCTTTAAACCTGTATACCAAGTTTCGTCCAGATCGGTTGTACAATACGATCTGTAGAGGAATACCAGCAAACTAACAAAGGCAAGCAAATTTTGCTAGACTTGAGGCAGAGAAGTTTCGCTCGTTCGGGTCAATAAGTAAGGAGGACAGTCGGGTGCACTCTACTCGAGTTTAACCAAGCTTACGAGTGCTCTGTTTAGACACCTTCGTTGAATAGATATAGTTAAGCGATAGCGCTATACGATGCCAAGCTGAATTGTACTTTATTTTGCCTATGCAAACTTTTTACACACATACGTTTTGACTTTTTTTGTATTTGCGCGGTATACATATATTTGTTAAATAAAAAAAAATAGACAAATTAAATTAATTACTTCATTCTTTAAATTAAACGACCCAACATAATACGAATAGACATTGCCATAAATCGTACCTAAATTTATGAACTTGAAATATTTTAGGCAATGGGCAACACTTCAGAAGCTCAGATGATGAAAACTGATCCTCGCGTCGCCGCCGTAGCTAACCATTCCTATAACAGGTAAGCTCCTTCACATAAGAATAATTACATTAATAAATTTTCTATATAATTATATATCATACCTTAAAATATATCTTACTTTAAAATCTTCATTAATAAGTGTTATTTAAAATCAATTTATAAAACTTTAATCAAACTTATGGACTTTGTCAAATAAAAGCTATATTGGTTATCTCTTTTTTTTAATTTACAAATGAATTATTCATCATCCATGATGTTTACTTTATTTATTACAGTGAACAAGAGGAACCTGAATCTCATTCCGAGCATGTGCAGTTAGAATCGCAGAATTCACGAGATAATGATAACTTCAGGGTAAGTATCTGTACTTACTTTATGGAAATGTGATTGATTGATCATTTTTAGCGATATTTCTTTTAGTCCTACCATGGAGTCTCTTCAAGACAATTTAAAAATAGTTCAAATGTATCGATTTATATTGATCTATGTAAAATAATTTTAAAATAACTAGCTCCCAAAATCGTATATTCAGATTATACAAAAACTCTAAAAAGTAAGTGAAATATTGCATTGTTAAAACAAATTCCGTAACTATAAACACGAAAGTTAGGACTCTTTGACTCAACAACTACTGAACGTATTGCGATCAAAACTTTACAATAATATAGCTTATACATAAGACTACCACTTATGCTATATTTTATAAAAATATACTAATATTATAAAAAGGTAAAGTTTGGGAGTTTGTGACGTTGTATGGGGTAATCTCTGGATCTACTGAACCGATTTAGATGAAATTTGGTAAGAAAGTTGTTTGAGACTCTGGAAAGGACGCAGGATACTTTTTATCCCGGAAATCATCCCTTAATGGCGTGAAAATGGGGATGAAAGTTTGTGTCGGGAATAAAATCTAAATATGTTTGCAGGGCGGCGGCGACAGTGCACTGGGGCGTGCCTCCAACACGGCGCCTTCGCACGTCGGCACGTACGCCAGCGATAGCGACAGGGATAGGTGATATTATTATTGGACTAATTTTATAAATGTGAAAATTTGTATGTGTATATAAATGTGTATAGGTGTAAGTATGTATGTCGTCGGCACATAGAGTTGCATCAGTGTGAAGCGAGGGTAAATCGCTATTCTGTCTGTGTGTGCGCGTGTGTATGCTTGTTACTCCTTCACGCTTAAATGGCTGGATGGATTGGAATGAAACAGTACTATACTATATATATAAACAATAACCTGGAGTAACGCAGAGTAATTACTGTTAGACACCTAAGAACCGAGAAAAGAGAGGGCAAGTCTATTTTCGTTACAAAACCAAGACGGTTCTTTAGTGTATTTTAATAAATTATTTTTGAGGACTTGAAGTCTATGATTTAATATTTTTTTATTCTTTGATAGTTCGAGAAACAAATCCAATCAAAGAAATCGTCTTCGACGACGACCAACTCAAGATCGTCAGTCTGAAGATAACAATGTAAGTTTATTTGCATTTGAAATACATACACAATATACATTATGTGTACTATAAATCGTTATACTTGTGTGTTTATAATGGCTCGAAATATTTTGGATTTTAATTATTATTAATATATGATAACTTTCCGCAGGCTTCAGTTGCTGCAAATAATAGCAATACAAACGTACGTCACGATTCCCGCTCGGATTCTTCAAATGTCAATATGATCCCACCTACGCAAAATAGTAAGTACACCTCGTTTTTTCTTTAATTCATTCTTCTCATAATATATGTAGTTTCCATTATAGCATGGTGTGGATGACACTTGTTAGTCCCATATAATTAGAGAGGTGACAACATTCAATTTTATCAATAAAGATTCTAAGGGTAAAATCTCAAAGAAAATATTTTAAAATGTCGTTAATACCAACCCCATATTTAACTATCAATTATATATGAAACATTTAAACATACCAACTGAGGTACGAGATCTATCGGTAATGAATATGATTCATTTATAGATTAAGATAAGATTAAAAATTGAGATTATAGAGTGTACATTTGCTTGCAGACGACAATGCAGCGAATATGCCGTACTCTCACCTGCCACCAACATGTTGGAATACAAGCAAGTCAAATCAGGTAAAAATTATATCGTAGTTCCCTTTTCAAAATCTAATAATTTTATATTTCTTATAAATGTATTTTGAAGATATGATACGTATGATAAAAGTATAACTGATCGCTGTCTGTACATTACAGATATTTGATAAAAACTATTTTTGGAGGTCTTTATTAACTCAATAGAACCTAAAATAGTGATTTTTAGAATTTTTGTCTATTTGTCTGTGCGTTTGTGCGCATTAATCTCAGAAACGGCTTAACCGATTTGGGTGCGGTTTTCACTAATGTATTGTGGTAAGCTTCACTTAACATTTATTATTAGTTTTATTTCAATCGGTTCGTAAATAAAAAAGTTACGTCAATTTAAAGAAGCACCTAAGAACGGACCCGAGCGAAGCGAGGGTGATTCGCTATGGACTAAATATATTCTTTATTTAAAGTTGCTTTATGCTAAAAGCAAACTGATTCACTAACATTCAAACCAAATAACTGGTCTGAAAAATTTCAAATTTAATAAGTCAAGCGTTAAAAGGGAAGCTAGGGATGATTTCTTGCTTAATAATATATGTATAAAAATATGATATATGTTGTTTAAGAAATTCATAAATATAAGATTGATTATTATATGCAATTGGAAAATAACTTAATACGCCTAGGTATAACGTTTAATTAAAAATAGCCAAAGAAATTTAATATTTTTTCAACTTATGGTACATAAAAATATATATCGAGAAATCGACACCTACATACATACAAAAAAATGCATCCGGCCCATATACCTCATTTGTATATATTCGCTTGCAGGACGCGCGCGCGAACCAGTTCACGCAGAACGCCCACTCGCAGACCATGGACCGGCTCGTGGGCGCGCCTCAGGTGTCGTTCCCGCCCGCGCTGCCCTACAACATGATGATGCCGTACGGTACGACTTCTATACATCTAATACCTTTAAACGAGCAATTCTTGTATATTTATTTATTTATACCGGCGATCTCGGAAACGGCTATAACGATTTCGCTGAAATTTAGTATGTGGGAATTTTCGGGGGCGAAAAATCGATCTAGATTGTCTGGGAAAACGCGTGTTTTCGAGTTTTCATGCGGTTTTCTTTCGCTTTATTCCACGCAAAATATGGGCGCTAATTTTGCATGCTCGGGCATAAGCATCGTGGTCAAGCGGTCAAGGCGCCAGATTGACAATTACAGGTATCCGAGTTCGAATCCCGGTCAGACACAAAGTTTTTACTTTTGTTTTTTTTTTGTATTTATTAAAGTTTTTTGTTTGTTTTGGAGCCAAATTAAAAAGGTACTATAATAAAATTGTAACTGAGTCGAATCTAAACATTAAATATTTTTGGAAGATCTTATTGAAATAGTCATTATTATCGATACATAGGCCGAATCTATAGTTTTTAGATTTTTTATCTGTCTGTGACCGCATCACGAGAAAACCACTGTACAGATTTTGACAAAATTTGGTATAATGATATCTGGATATCCGGGTCAATATATAGAATGTTTTTTACTGCAGGAGAATATCTCATCTTTGAGAAATCTATACTAAACGTTAACTACTAATGAATCGTAATAATTATTTATACATGTTTAAGCAGTCTTTGCAATTGATAATAAATAATAATACCTCAAAAAAATTACAACTTTACAAGAAAAGAAAGAGTTTTATGGAAGTTGTAGCTCTGTATCCTTTCTTACTACCCCGTAACAAAGATAAAAGATTCAATCATTCGTTTTTGATTTTGATATTTATTTTGGGGGACTCCATCTATATAATTCTTTAGTCAGAGATATACAAATGTTAAGAGCATTAATCATTTTAACCGTAACATACACAGGTATCGTAGGCGGATGCGGGTGCGGCTGCGGGCTGTGGGGCGCGTGGTGCTGGCAGCAGCTCGTCATGCAGCAGCGGGAGATACACCAGCTCAGAGATCAGCTCAACCATGTATGTGTCATGTTAGCCTTATTCGTTTATTTTATTGCATAGGTACTATATAACAAGTTTACGTATTTATATTAAGGTGTTTTAGGCAGGAGATAACATTGGCGTCAACGAGAATAAGTCGTTTGGAGATCCGTTGTAGGAAAGCAAACGGCACTTTGGATGATGTGGTCCAGAGTTTGATCCTCCTTATTAATTAATACGAAGATATGAAATCTTTGTATTAATTGTCTATTAAAACTCTGAAAGTCAATTATGTGTGTGTCTGTGAACGTTCGTTACTCCTTCGCTGAAACCTCTGGATGGATTTGGGTGAAATTTTGTACACAGATACACTATGACCTAGATTTTACATGATCAATAGTCTACTATTAATAATAACATATGCCAAAAGATGGCGCTTCATGTATATATAATATAAAAAAAAATACAAAGCGAATCTAGAAAGGCACTGACGAACGATAGTTAAACGCCAGTTGTTAATAAAGTACTTATAATAATCTTTTCACAATTTACTTCTATAAAAGTTGTTTTCTATATCATATGATAAAGAAAACAAATTTATTTTATTTTTGTGTATGTTATTTTTTATTTTTGTATTCGCAACAATTTTAATGTTTGTACCGGACATTTTTAGCTCGAGGAACGTTGGCGAGCAGAAACAGCATCGCATACACTGAATAACCAGGTGCCGCCCGGCAATCGAGCCAATAACTATTGGGATAACTTTAGAAGGTATTATACATAACTTATTTTAATATTATTGGAGCTTTTATATGTACATATACGTATTTAATATATTTTCTATCTAATTTCAGATATTAGAACCGTACCTGTTATATTAGAGTAAAATTAAATTAGTAATTATATTATACATATATAAATATACATACATACATATTTGGTCCCTGCACTTCTAATCTTTATAAGGGTAAGAACCGTGTGAAAGTGACACCTTGGCTTTATCGTTATTTTTATTTACGTTAGCGTCGTCCCCTACCACTCAGTAGAGAAGCATCCATGGATTTTTTTTTCTACTAACATTGTAATTACTTTCGATCGATAAAGTCACAAAATATTAATAACTTATGATATTTCAGCTACTCGCGACAGAACCTGCTGTCGGCCAACAGCAAGAGTAATGCAGAGACGCAGTCGAGTGCTGCGCCACTTGTGGAGCGCTCTCACAACAGCCTGCACCACACGTCATCTTCCACCTCACCATCGCTCACCCCCAAGCGCAACACGGAGACCGCATCGCCCCACCCGCACCCCCACCCCCCGGGCGGCGCGGGCGCTGCGGGGGCGGAGCACCCGCCGGCGCCGCGCCGCGCCTACGAGCGCTCGCTCTCGTTCTCCTCCGCGCCCGACGTGCTCAACCTCAACCAGCACGACGAGCCGCGCGCCGACCCCCCCGCCAACGCATTCCGTAATCTCAACTACGCAGACCCCATTCCGGAGATCATCCAGGCCCACTCGAACAACCTGAACTCTCCCGCAGACAAGAGAAAGTCTTCCGCCAAGCTGCCGTCCAAGAACTCCACCAGGAGAAACTACGCGCTGGACTTCTCGCCCACCAGCAATATCAACATAGCGAGCGCTTCCGCCGAGCCGCCCAACCCTAACCTCGCCTCCACCAGCCGCGAGGACAAAGCGACGACCAAGCTATTCGATCTCCTTAGAGAGAATATCTATTCCGAAGTGACCACGCTCATCGGCGTGAACGAGTCTCATCCGGACTTTTTGATTCAACTGTTCCGGGAGCTGCAATTGATCAGCTCTGATCCGCTACGGCAGAAGGTTTTGCAGTCCATACGGAATGTGTTGTCTCAGTACGGAGCTCTTCTTGAAAATCAAAATAACGACGCAGAAAATGCGGAAGGTGCCAGCGAGGCCGTCATAACGTCGACAGAAGGCAACTGTCACGACTGTAGTAACCAGAATGTTTGCTCAAGTACCGTACAAATCGATAACAAGATCGTGCGATTTCTATTGATGAAAAGCGAGGAAATATTTACATCTGAGCTGCTAGAATCTTTAGCGTCTAACATTCTCGGCAATTGTACTGACAGCAGGCAGTCAAGAAGGCTGCTCGAATTGCTTTCCAAATACGAGGGGTTGAGAGTTTGTGACGTATCTAGTGACATAATCGAAAACTTGCAATTATTTAATTCGGGAAATTTGGAAGATGAATCAACACATTTGACGAATGAAGCCGCTGAATCGACAATTTTGCAGGATGTCGCGGGATCCCTTAACTTATTTAGTACCAGCGAAACTCAGTTGCACTGCAACGCGTGTCCTTACGACATGTGGCCGGGCCACGTGCACCTGGACATGGACGGGAACGATCTCAACGATAACAGCCCGCGTTCGAGCCAAGAGGGGAAAGTTGATCTCATAAATTGTTCGGAAATGCATAATGGTGACTTAGCGGAGGCGGACCAGACGTGCCCCGCGGACGCGGCCGGGGGCGCCGACGCGGGCGCGGAGGCGCTGCCCGACGTCGTGGAGACCGACGAGGTGACGCCCACAGAGGTAATGCAACACCTGTACTGTAGATGTCTCCCGCTAATTAACTGTGTTAACCGCAACAATTAACTTTCTATTTCCTTTCATAAACATGCTTTCTAACCGCAAGCAATTGCCGATTCTAATGTATCATATTATCCTGTAAACTCATTGAAACTTCGATCTCTCTGATGTACTTACTCTCTTTAAGTGTATTTATTATTGTAGTATTCTAAATAAAGATTTTTTAAAATGAAACAAACCCAACATTTTAATTAAATTTAATATTTTATTTTTATTATTTTTGAAGTAAAACTTTTTAGGCGGGACTACATTGGAAAAATGAGTGTCACGAGTAAGAGTCAAATCTATTACTAATAATTTTATTAAATTTATTGTTTTGATTTGTTTTTAATTTTATTCTATTTTTTCTGCCAAAGAGCCAAAGAAGTTTTACTTCAACCGCGCGAGGTTACACGCATTCATTTTTTTTTTTCTATTTTTAAAACTTCACATTTCTTATTTATTATTATTAAGCAGTCATCAAGTTTAATTTTATTATAAAAAAACTATTTTAATATCAATTATAAAAGCAATTTTAAAGATATGAGATAATATAATAATAAAGAGAAATAAGAGAAATAATAAAGAGATATAAGAATAAAGAGAGATGGAAAAAATAAAACAATGTTCTTTTTCAATATAAGTATAATACAAGCTCAGGTACACAAAATATCACAGATCCAAAACACCTAAGATAGGTGTCTATAATATAGATATCTATACATTGTAAACTTAATGATATTTGGACACTAATTATATCACAGTGCATTCTATCCTCCAAATTAAACATAGAACATAACATTTAGTAATATTTATATTTAAGGCTGAAGCAGAGTGGCTCGGGCTTGACCGTGTGCCAACAAGGCTGCATATGGAGGAATCATCTGAAAAACAAAAAGGTAAAAATTAATATATAATTAATATGGAACAAACACTCAAACATCAAATATAATTTGATCTATGGTTTGAGTGAGCCTGTAAAAAATATTTCATTAAATCTTCTTCTGCATCTGCAACAGAAAAACAAAACAAATAGTAATTAATTTTTTTTTTCTTTTTCAGATTAGGGTCAAGAGTAAAGCAGCATGACATCTCACATCATATTGACATCAATTTAACAATCACTTCATGTTTTAAGTATTGTATTCTCATTAGTATTTTGCCACTGTCTATATTTACATAGCTTCATTTATGTTATATTTATTTAGAATAAATAAATATATAAAATATTAGTTTTTTTTTCTATAAATAAAAAGCCTCCCATTTCCTATTTTATCTTTATTAGGAAAATGTCTTAAGTTATATATCTGCTCAATATATTACTTCTTTACAACATTTTTAGGAATAGAAGTTCTTTAGAGTCCCAATATTTCTTATATATCACAAAATGTTCGTCACAGACACTGTAATAGATGATAAAAGTTTCCTCCGTGCAATTTCCAATACAAATATTCCAGTGAATCTTCTGAACTAGTTTCCAATTTCTTTTTCTCAGTTGTCTCAGGTTCTAAGCTTTTCTTTATTTGTACTTCTGCAGATAAAATTAAGATTTCTGAATTAATTTTAAAATTTGGATATGCAGAAATATATAAGCTAAATCATGTGGACCATGAGACAACGAGATATATCTGGATTGTTGTGAGTAGGACGCAGTAAGCATGGATTGTAGTTTGGAGGCGTTGGCACCATACCCTCTGAAATAAATCGAATTTTGTCACACTCTACCCTTACTGTTAAGAAATCCCAGAGTCTCAAATTGTTGCTGTTTCAAATTATACTATCGGAGACTTCGATGTGTCAATTTGGTGTATTTATAATATATATTTTTTTCAACATTTTATATCACAGTTTAACAATAAGTTTCTGATTTCAAATGTATAACATTTTTTTATATTAAATTTAATTATACACAGTAAACAACAGCAATAGCATTTGTTCTTTTATTTTTGTATCCACATAATTATGTGTATGTAATTACATTTGTTATAATTTTCTCCTTAAAAAATAAGTAATGCATGTTAAAAATATGTATAATTGTATAATAAATTAAGAAAATAATTACCTACTTAATATTAAAATGTATATTATTAAAAAAAAAACAGCTGTAGATAATTTTAATTAAATTGGACAATGACATACAGTTACAACATAAAACATATTCGCGTAGCTGACACGTTGAATCGATTAAATTTAGTTCAAGCTTTCAGGTGCATGAGACAATTTCCTGTATTTATATTACCTTCTACACCCCATATGATGTATGTAATCAGTTCCTGTGACCAAGTGCCATAATTTGATGGCATACAAAAATAAAGTCGGTAAATTACCGACGACATTAGACACCAAAAAAAATACCCCAAATTAAAAACAAACAACACAATTTGTTTTTGAGAGCTTATTTATAGATAAATGTAAAAATTACGAGAAGTACAGGAAATTTCCTGTGGATCTTGATAGCTTTAAAGTTTAAACTATTGATCCACGGGCCAGCTACGGGAAAGCTTTTCGATCGAAGATCGGGCGAATAGTTACAGCCATATATTATATATATATAATTTTACAAATCATGTCACCAAACATTTTCTGTCAAATATTTCTTTATAGTAGCCTTAGTATGCCTGCTGAGACTTATAATTTTCTATATCTATTTAAAACGTACCTAGGGACGAACTCTAGGGAAGCGCGGGTGAGCCGCTAGTATAGCCGCTTTAATATTTTCAAAATTATTTCTCAAATAAATGGTCAATTTTATGACATTTATTTTGTTGTGGAGAAGATATTTGGAATAAATTATTCAAAATTCCATATTAGTATAATATCTAATATTATTTTTGTGGATACATACAGAAGTTCAATTAGAATACTAAGGTATTAAGATAGTTTCAAATACAAAACAAGATTATGTATCTAAGCAACTATCACGGTAATGTTATATGTAACATTACAGTGGTTGTATACACATCTTATAAAATATTTAATATATAGATATTTAAAAAATAATTATTTTGTGTATTAATGAAGAAAAACTTAAACTTAAATTGAAATACAAGAAAATTAGGTGTTTTTTTATTCCTCCTTGAAGTACATAATTATTAAATAGTAGTATTTTCTTAGATTTCTGAAATTTTACTCATTAATGAAACTGTTATGTTAGTTATCCATTATAACAAAAATAATGTGTTCAAATTTCAAAATTATAATTATTCATATTTCAATAAAGTATGTTGAAATTCTAATTTTAGTTTTGATATAGAGTGGGCATTATATTATCACATTTCTAAATTCTTATGTAGTGTATTGTTCTATGACAATTATTTCTATTACAACTAACAAACTAAAACTCAATTACCAATTCAAAAAAAGTATTTTCGGTACATTTAATTTTTACTGATGAAACAAAAATATTTATCTATTTAATGTGATAATAAGACTGTCCATTCAGATATAGCTATAATCAATCAAACAAAGTAATTATTATTTCATCTAAATTATTATTAACATTTTTACAAGTTTCAATTAATAATATTCATACTTACATCACAGACTAGAAAAAAAAGGACTTCGCATAATGAAAATCACAAGTGAATCACTGTTTTCAGTTAACTATGTGTGAGTGAGAGTGATTTGAGTGATACCAGAATTTGAATCGGTTTTTCCCCATTGTTTAAATATCATCCATTAGTATTTTTCTACCATAAAAAATAGTAAATTGTAACAAGTGTTAGTAAAGAACATGTATGTATCAAAGTGTATATAAGAATAATAATGGTGGCCGCTTGGTGTATAATGAACTAATTGTGTGCATAAGGTGTGTATGTATGCGCTTGTCAGCATATTTGGGGTGCTTCAGTTTCATTATGACTGGCTTGGAGTCCTTCTTATTTTTCTAGTCCATGACTTACTAGGTGTAAATTACTACTATTATTATTGCAATGCACAAGTACCAAGTAGATATAAAATTAAAATAATAAAAATAACATAATTTGAAACTGCAACAAAAGATCACTCTCATTTAAATTTACTTTATCGTTTTCTCTTATAAAATGACAACTACGAGCAAAAGAAAGAAAATCAGTTTTTTCATCCTGCTGCATTGTTTCAAACTCACTCTAATTTATAAGGAAATACCTATTTATCAAAATGGCATATTATTTATATTATCGGCATAATGTACGAAATCTCATTGAAATCAGTTATATCATCAAAATAAACTCACTTATTTTGGTTCATTTCCAGTTCTCAGTAAATAACTTCAATGAGATTTCGGATAGTAAAATATTAAATATCTTACCTTCACGTAGACGTTTATTTTTCGGATATGAATAATCTTCTGCGCTTCTTTTTCTCGCATTACTTTGAGGTTCTGACGATGTAGCTTTAGTATCTTCCCCATGTGAAACCTCAATCATTTCGCAATCGACGTCTTCGGAAATATTGCTTATGTTCTTTTGATCGTGAAAGCCATAATAACAATTTGTTGATACATGAATATTCTGGCATTGGCCCATAAACATGTTAGAATCACTACAGACAGGAGCAGGCCGAAGGGCTTGAAAATTATTTTTGGCATCTTGCATATGGTACAAATTGATACTGCTAGCCGGCATTTTTGAATATTCAATTTAATAATTTTCTGTTTTCAAATGCTAGTTGTGACTTGTGTTCCAGTTTAAATTCGCACTATATAAACTAATGCGTCTGCTTGCTCTTGCTAATGGCTGACTAAGCGTGATTACGAAAATTACAAAAATGAATATGAGCACATCGCGCGCTTTCCGTCAACAACTGTCAAATAAGCGTCCAATAATACAGACAAAATATAAGTATTACAAACAATCAACAGAAAACTACTTTTGTATTTTTTTTGTTTGTAAAAACAAGAAATAAATTCATCGGTTTTAAACAAATGTCAGTGGAGAAGATTTCTCGAAAGGAGGGCGCCGCACATATGGTCTATTTACATTCAGTCTGAGGTTAAGCAATTTATTGTGTTATCTCTTTTATTCCTGGTTTTTGCTTCTATTGTGTTCGTATCTTATTGAGAAGAAGAGGTGCATTCTGTGGTGGTCCTGTCTGACTGATAGATCAACACGCAGCCTAAGCTGCTGGTCGTAGAAACGTGAAATTTGTAGGACGTATTCCTTACATGATGTAGGCATCGGATAAGAAAGGACTTTTCGGAATTCATCCCATAAGTGGGTAAAATATTTATTTTGAAATACACAGAAAGTGATGTTTAGCTTTAAGATAAAAAATTAGAAAAATATTTATATGATTATTTTCGAAATTCATTTATATTTTCATTCCTTTAAAGTGGTAAAAAGGGGTAGTAAAGTTTGTATATGGGCAAAGAATTATTTATGATTAGAATTACTTGAAACTTCGTATTAATGCTCTGCAATACAATTAAATAAATACGTGCAATTATCGAAATTTAATCCCATAGGGGAGTAAATTGGGGGATGCAATTGTGTATGAAATTCTGTAATTAATGTGTAAAATAGTACAAAAAATAAAAAAAATATTCACATGTAGATGATTTAAGAGTTTTAAAGTCACTTTCTTAAAATAATGTCCGTGATTTCGCCAATTTTGTCGTCTTATTACTTGAGCCCACTATTTCTTTAGTTTTTTCTTTTAGGAAAAAATGATATCCATTTTCTTCCATTTCTTCTCTATAGTCCATACTTGCCATGCTACTTAACAATGTCAAATTGATAAATGACAATTAATATTTAAATATGACAGTGCTTTGCAAACTGACAAGTGACAACAGACATCGGAAAGCCATTTTTTAAAAAGATTTTTGAGGGAAATAATAATTATTTATTTACCAATTCAATTAAATAAGTTATATTATAAAGTAAACATATTTCTTAGACATTAAGTATTTTTCCATATAATGTATTGTGCCACATTCTAGGTTTTTTCTTCTTGTTTCAAATAGTTGATTTGTCTGCGATATTTATATTAAAATGATCATGTTACCTTCGTTGGCTTCCAATTTTTATAGAAAATTTGGTAGACAGTATACTCAGTGGAAATACTATAATTCAATATGTATCGGCGCTTATCGGATTTTACAAAGAGAGAGTATCTTATCATTACAAAATAATAAGAATATTTATAGACGGATTTACACATCTGCATATTTTAATGACAAAAGTGAAATTAAAGATGCTAAAGATATAACTGACAAATTAACTGCAGGAGGAAAAGACTCGCATAGAACTGTAAAGGAAAAATCTTTAGGTGATATAATTGTAAAGACAGAAACTGATGCAGATAAGGTAGTTACTAAAGTTACAATTGAGAAAGCAAAGTCTCAAGAAACTGAAGAAGCTGCAAAACAAGCTGCTGTAGCACCACAAAGTATGATAGAAATATAATACTCATTATCTATGTCAATGTAATTATTATTAATTTTTATTGTTATTTTTAGAAAAGAAAAGATTATTAATTGATTTTTCTGCATCATATACTGAAAGAAATTTTATAACACCCATGAGAGCTATGACTGAGTACTTGTTAAAGCAATCTGATTTGGAAATGCTACCGAAAGTTCTCAGGAGATCTCCATATGAATCAGAGCCACCTATCACTGTCTATTATAGAAAAGATGTAGAAGCTAAAGCCATTGAGGTAAAGTTTAAATATGTAAATGTTTAATCTATCAAACATTAAGTCCAAGAAGTCCAATTTTAAAGAAAGCAATATTTATATACACAAATTATATTTAAAGGTATGGGGTTCAAAAGACAGTCTTGATAAAGAACTACTTAGAAGAGAGTTAGACAGAAGAAGATATGAGCAAGGTTATTATTTTTAAATATTATTTATATTTTTAAAACATAAATTGCAATTTGTTTATGTTTTTATTTTAAATGTTGATTCCTTTCATTTTTAAAAGATGTGTAATATAGACCTATTGTATAAATAAATTTATAGATGTCTTTACTGTCAAAAGAAGATTAAGAAACTATAGAAGAGAAATGGGCCATAAACGGTTAAAACATGGAGTTGAGGAAATGGGTTTAAAAACAGTCTCTGGAAGAGTTGTGCTTACTGCTGTTGGAATGTAAGAGTTCAGGCAGATTTAACTTTGATGGCTTTATCTTTATTTGAATATTTATAAATGATAATTACTTTTTTTCAGAAATGGATGTAATTTTCTCTTTAAGCTATGTGCTTGGTTATACACTGGATCCCACAGCTTATTCTCTGAGTGTATACATTCTCTTGCAGATACAGTTAATCAACTTATTTTAGCTTATGGTATACATAAATCTGTACAGGTAAGTATTAAAATTAAAATGGTATACATTACATAATATATGCTGCCTATTACTGGCCATCAAGCTTTGTAGCAAGATGCTGTTGATGTTGATGATGATGTTTCTTTATTTATTTACTGGTAAAGATAAGAAATATATCACACTAGCGACTCACACTCTCTACGCTCGGGTTCGTCTCTAGGTTGATTCCCCATACAAACTTTCATCCTCATTTTCACCCCCTTAAGGGACGATTTTCGGAATAAAAAATATCCTATGTCCTTCCCAGGGTCACTTCTTACAAAATTTCATCTAAATCGGTCCAGTAGTTTTTGTGTTTATTCTTACAAACATACAAAAATACAAATCTTTCCTCTTTATAATAGTAGTGTAGATGGTATTAGATACAAATGTACAGATTATAATACAAATACCTATATCATACTGAGTACTGCTGACAAATAAAACCAACTTCTTCTCCTGCAACTTGGTCTTTGTTTCACACCAGTTTAAATTATTTATTGACCGTAATTACTTTGATTAAAGAATGTACTTTATATAGATTGCAGATCCGGACCATCCATATGGTTACACTAACATGAGATACGTCTCTTCACTCATATCAGGTGTGGGCATCTTCTGTGTGGGTTGTGGTCTTTCTTTTTACCATGGAGTAACTGGTATTTTAGAACCCCAACCTCTTCATGATTTTTATTGGGTAAGTTATCATTGAAAACAATAAATATTTGTCCATTTTGAATTAAATGATTTCGTCAATTATAATTATTAATTTGTTTTATACTTCAATATCAAGAAGTTACCAAAATTAAATAACTTGGTTTAAAATGGGTGGAGTTTTTATATTTTATTTTTTATTTGCAGGCTTATTTTGTACTTGGTGGGGCAGTTGTTTCAGAAGGAGCAACATTAATGGTAGCTCTTAGTGCAATTAGGAAAGGTGCTAAAGAAGCTAATATGACATTGTATGAATATGGTAAGTTTTTTATACTAATAAATCTACTACTTACATATAAAAGCTAAAAAGATAGATATGTAACTTTGTTTAAATTTACTCATTAAGTTTGAAATGTCAACCGGGTCAACATTTAGGATACTTTTTACTGCGTGAAAATATCTCATATCTGAGAAATGTATACTAAACGTAACTAACGAGTGGAGCGAGGGTGAGTCGCTAGTGACTAATAAAAGTAATCCATTACCCAACAGTGATGCGGAGCTCCGACCCGTCAGTGAACGTGGTGCTGTTCGAGGACACGGCGGCGGTGGCGGGCGTGGTGGTGGCGGGCACGTGCATGGCCATCTCGCAGTACACCGGCAGCCCGCTGCCCGACGCCATAGGCTGCATACTGGTCGGCACGCTGCTCGGGGGCGTGGCATCGTTTATTATATTGAGTAATGTCGGTGCTTTGATTGGCAGGTACATTGTTTATTCGTTAATTATATTCTTAACTCTTTCTTTGGGTTCGAGTTCCCGGTCGGGCTCAATGTGTTTATTGAGTTTACAGACTGGAGTTGGAAAGTTGGCGGTGTTACACCCCCTTGTCTCGGAGAGCCCATAACATTTTTTTTTATCAAATAAGCTAACCAAGGATAATAAAAAAAAATCTGAATAAAACAAATAAATGATTACAATATTTTACCCGTCAAATACGAACGGTAATTCATACGAAACATTCATTCGGATAAATTATTTCATACAAACAATTCGAATATTAATTAAAAATATTGAACTGAACTACTATTCTAATAAATTATCCGAAAAAAACGATTTTTATTTTTATGAACAATTGCCCTGTGAATAATTGTATATTTTCTTTAATGTAAAACATGCTGTTGGGTCTCTTGACGATGACAGCATAATCTGGTCTGGTAGTAAGTAATTTCGTGCAGCGCCATCTTTTATTAGATTTTAAAGATTATTTACGCTAATAAGAGCTACGCTGTTGGAACTGTGCGCTTAATCACGCATCACTAAAAAAATTAAAATATAATATCATAATAATGATATCAAAGATCATATATCATTGATCATATCAAATCATAATCAAAAGAGAATTATTACTACACAATTAAAAAAAACATTTTTTTAGAAGACCAATACGACTTTATAAATAAAAGATATTGGTGACAAATGGCTAAAACCCTAAAAGTTCTAAAAGTAAAAACTAATTCTGTTAATGAATATTAAAAATATAAAAATATATTGTAGGTAACTTTTATTTCAGATCAATTCGTCAAGAGCAGTTAGATGAAATAAACAGTGTATTAGAGCGAGACTTTATGATTCGAGCCATACACGACGTTAAGGGTATAGATATAGGAAGTAATCTTATAAGATATAAGGTATTTGTTTGTATTTAATAATATTTCATTTTTTTAATTTAATTTATACTGAATAACATTTATCTTTTTCAGGCCGAGGTGGACTTCGATGGCCGTGCACTAACAAGGTCTTATTTAGAAAAGCATGATTTAAACACATTACTAGAGGTTGATATTAGAATTAAATTAAAAATATAATTTCGATTTCAATATTAATTAATAATGTCCCATGTGTTTGATTTGTTGTAGGATATGAAGAAAATAGAAACAATTGACGATGTAGAATCATTCCTACTCAAGCACGGAGAAAACATTGTTGATATGTTGGGAGGAGAGATCGACAGGATAGAACTGAAGTTAAGGGTAAGTTGTTGTACTTTTAATTATTTTGAAGTTAAAATAGGAATCTGGGTGGTTTGTACTATAACAAGCTTTTATTTAGTTTCACCCGTCCCGGTGTCTGTATTTAATTAAAATTTGACCCACTTCCCAGTGTCCGATTTGGTTAAAATTTGGCACACACGTTTGGTTCTCGTGATCATGCACGATTAACTGAATGCCGCCATTTTCAATCCAACATGGCGGACGTTACGGCGACGTTGGCGGCGATTTATTATAATTATTTTTCTATTCAATACACACCATCTAAGTTTTTTGTAACATTTTTGACACATTTCCTTTTTGTTTCAGAAAAAGTTTCCTCAAATACGGCACTGTGATTTAGAGATTTTGTAAAGAGAATTTAAAAATAACAGTTGCAATTATTAATTTTGATTGCACTTTTATTTGTTAAACTGACTATACACTACATTTATATCTACATTTATGTTAGATTAGACGTTTTTAATTCATTATCTAATAAATATAATTTATTATGTGTATAATCTATTTAAAAGTTGCAAAACATATAATATTAAGTTACTGAATAATAATAGATATAGAAAGAAATCTAATTAAAAAGAAAAAATAAGACTAAGAACTGCAAATATATACATATGTATAGAAAATGCTGCTTTTTTAATTATAAATAAAATGAAATAGGCTTTATTATTGTATCGTTATCTTACAGAATCATTTTACATATTAAAAATAGACCAAGAAGACCAAGTGAGATGCAGTCGTTTAAGCTAGAGCTGCTATAACTTTTATAATAAGGAGAATTTTTTTTATTGGCAGTAATTAGACTTCCTTAGTGGCTGTTTTCGGAACTAATTACTCCAATTTTGGTCTTTAATATTGTGTTTACAATATAAATCAAACTAAATAGTCACTTTATGAGTCGAGTTTAGTACTTACATTAGCTTACTTTACCTTTTGGGAATCTGTCACCGTCGAGACTTCTATACCTCTATATTCATAGTGCTTGAATTTGTTGACACCAAGTTAGAACTACGGTAGCCCTATTTTAAGCGGGATAATAAAATGTCAAAGGTACATATTTGAAAAAAAAACTTACTCAATAACCATTTCTCACGTTTGTGATTTTTAATATCTTAAAATGAAAATGTTGGAATTTCGCCAAGGTATAGAAATGACTGTTATTTTCAAATAATTATATTTATTATTTAGTTTATTATAATAGTCATCTAAATAACTATTCATGCGGTCGTACTTTGTGTTTTATAAAATGTAAAATTTTGACAATAAACTTTACCAACTATTTACGAAATTATAACGTGTACAGAAAATGTTTGTATGGCGGTCAGTATTTATATCACATCTTAGTATATAAAATTAAATTTTAAATATTGTGCAATTTTGCCAAGCTTAATTACTTACATACAATGTGGGGACGCACTCATCACATATTAAATGAAGAAAATAAATTGTGAAGTAAAATATATTGATCTCAGTACATATCGCATTCTTGTGAGTGTAATAATTTATTTTAGGTTATCATATTAAGTATATGTTTCGTTTGAACTATTTCATAATTTTGCCGGGCTGACTTAACTACTTACATTTAGATTATGATAAGATATTCAAATGAAGAAAAAAAAGCCATATTATTAAAATATTCGCTAGTACTTTTAATGCTGTATCAGAGTTCCATAAACTATGGGTATCACATGGTATCAAAAATGTGATGATTGCGTCACCACTTAGTACATATAATAAACCTTTTAATCTCTGTGATTTAATGTATGTAGGCTTTACTTAGATAAGTATAAAATAACTGTATGTAATCTAAAATTCCCTACTGTAAATAAATCTGCAAAATTACTTTTGTATTCTTTCATTTTCTGATGTCATTGACGTTAGAAACATGCTTTATTAAAAAATCTTGCACGTAAAATCCGTATTAATCTATACATATAATAAAATTTTCGATACAGAGGCCGAATCTATAGTTTTTAGTATTTTTGTCTGTCTGTCTGTTACCGCATCACGGAAAAACTACTGGAGGGATTTTGATGAAATTTGGTATGATGGTAGCTGGTTATCCGGGTCAACATATAGGATACTGTTTACCGCGGGAAAATGTCTCATTTCTGAGAAAAATACAAAAACTGCAATGTAAGAGTAGAGTAATATGTAAAACCTAAGAATTTGGTTTTTGGTCATCTGAACGCGGGCGGAGCCGCGGGCAATGCTAGTAATATTATAAATGTGAAAGTTTGTGAGTATGGATGTTTGTTACTCTTTCACGCCAGAACAGCTGAACTGATCTGGATGAAATTTGGCACAGACATAGATTATAGTCTGGAATAACACAGGTTACTTTTTATCCCGGAAAAATATACGGTTCCCGTGGTATAGGTTTGTTTTTGTTTTCCTAGAGGCGAACCCAAGCGAAGCTAGGTTCAGTCGCAAGTCATCTTATAAAATGGTCAAATTAATTCACCGAATTAAACATTTCAATAGTCAATATAGGTTTGAGGCAAGCTTTAATTATTATATACTAGCGACTCACCCTCGCTTCGCGCGAGTTCGTCCCTAGGGACATTTAAATTTTTTGAGTGGAACCCTAATAAGAATTAGGAAGGTTAGGTTATTACTGAAATAAAAAGTAGCCTAAGATGCTCCTTATAACATCAAATACCTGCCAGTTTAAGTCCCGTCAAAATCGGCCCAGTCGTTTCGGAGATTAGCCGGAACAAACAGACAAAATTTTTAAAAATTATGTTTTTCTTATAAATACCGTATATATAATACCTTATGCATTTAGTAAAAAGTTGTTATTTTGACATTACAAACAGACACTTCAATTTTATTTATGTGTATAGATTAGAAGGGAAAAATAAAATATAGAGTTAAAATGATTATTTAATTGTAATAAAATATAATTCAGATTACATTTGTTTACGTCAATATTATTAGGCATTGAACCAAAATCGATCAATGAGATATTTCGGTAATTATTAGTACTGGGGTTAAATAAAATGGCATAAATATGGGGTGCTTCTAAAATAGCATATAAATATTACATGTAGTGTATATTCATTATTTTTTCTGATGTACATTAGCAACATAAAAACTTTTAAAATAACTTTCCTACACAACCTAACCAGTCTTTCACATGAAAATGCAAATAAGCATTCTAATTTAACGGCTTCGCTTTCCCGCACACATTATGACAACAGATAATAATTTTATAAAAGGCAAATATAAAAAGGAAATTTTGGAGACATCAAAAGAATTGATAAGGATTTTGACTGCATGCCTTGTAGAAAAATTCTAACAACTGTGGCCATGTCTATGGCACATGTACAAAAAACTTCTAGCGTGCGACTAATAACCACTTAGTAACTTGTAACACTATCACAGTAATATGGTTTCTTTCAGTTGAGCAGAGAATTTAGTACGTCGATGTTTTTATTATAATTTTAATATTAAATGCGAGTGGAATTTAGAATTTATACTAACTGACAGGCTTGTTATTTTTTATAGACAAACTGAGAGCAAAGAAGAAAATAAAGAAAAAAAACAGAATGTCAATTATATTTTTTACGTTTTCCTAATATGTATATGTATATTCAATTACTTATGAATAAAACTATTTTTTATCACGATACAGTTAAGATATGTTTACGTTCGTTCACGAAACAATATGTACTCATCTACAGATTATTATCAGTCTATATTATCTGGTGAGGAGATTGAAAAAGGCAGATTTTTTTGTAAAACTATTCCTAAATTGTGAAAATTAATTCAAACAATATATATTAAAAGTAGTTTTATTCATAATAATGTTTTATCCATTCCCCGAAATAATTAGTTTGGTTATATTGTTTTTGTGTCAAGATGTGAATATAAACGTACAATTGATTGAGCGGTATAATGTATTTAATTGTACTTGTTATTAACTTTTGAACTATAATATAAATAAATCTTCATATGTCATTACAAAATAAGGGTGTTTAAATCATAAAAAATCACATTATTTTATTATATTAAAAATGCTCAGAATTGCTTATACCTTTGAACCCATAATATTTGAATGAGCTGGACTCGAACTTTATATGACTGTAATAATGGTTGAAAAACTGTAAAAAAACTATCCAACTTTAATTATGAAAGATGGTAGAAATTTTCCCAATTATCATAATTGTCTTTCTCGCTAATGTATTTAGTGTATTGATCATTTAAATAGCGGGTTTAGTTTGAGGCAGGCACAGATTGTAATGCGCTGTTTTGTTCCAGAAGTCAGAATTCTTCCATCCGCACCATCCTTTAGAGATAATGGTGTTTATATCATCGGGCCCGGTGTAGTGCGGGTCCAGTATTAGATATCTGGTGTCGTTTGTCACAAAGTTATATTCCACACCTAAAATTGTATGTGCTAATACTCCACCACCTGAAATATAAAGGATACTTTCAGACCTTATGATTTTAAAATTACTATGTATTATGTACACTATGTGTTATACAAAGCGATGTTAACACGTCAAGGCACTTGGGTCTCAAACGTCAGATTTCTATTACCACTTGCTAATAAAATTAAAATAAAACATCGTGAGAAAATCTGCATGTAAAAATAATATTTTGTTCATACACGTTTTTTTTAAATAGTTGTTATATTTGTAAGTATAACTTTGATGTTTACTTCCATTTGTGAATTGTAATTATAATAATTATAATTAATTGTATTCCTGGGATGACAACACAAGGAACTTGATTTCCTAATTTATCTACCATATTTAGAGTCTAGATTTCAAAATAAATGATTGAAAACATCTACTAAATAAATAAAGCACAAACCTATCATGATAGGACTTCCATGCTTCTGGAAATGATACACAAGTTCCGGAGCATAGCTACTTAATTCTGAGCCTGTATTAGCGAAGATAATCCTTGACTGTACTCCTAATAGAGTTTCTAGGCAAAACATGACTTCTGTGGACCCAATCCATTGTTTTGAGCCGAGGAATGAAGGCTGCTTATCCCCAATTTTGACAAGGCACTGTTGTATGTCTCTGTGTGTTGGTATTTCCTCTGTGCTGTAGCCTTGGAGCCTGGAATAGCATACATAACTTACTCTTATCACTAATTTTTTTTGTAAATATCCATACTCTTAAAAAAAATTTTTTACAAGTTTTTTTACATCTACATTCTTCTATATTTTTTGGAATTGTTATAGTCAAAGAATGTCTTGAGAATTAAAAATATTTGCCAGTTCAAATTGATTATTGCAGTTTTTATCAGTAATCCTTTACACACTAAATCTATTCAACTTAATGACTTTAACATTCCTCCTGTATTACAGCAGGTTTTACATTTAGCTATTAAGCAAATTATTTTTTACAAAAATCAATCTAGTGGATTTTATGTTATGCTGCAATTTCAAATTAACTCCTGAATACAACAAATAATATCAACATACCTAAACCAAGAAAATATAGTCTGCATAGAGCGGTAGGCACATCCCCAGCCGTCATCATTGAAGTTATCCTGCATGTAGTGGTGGTAGGTGTAGCGGCCAAACACAACGGCTGTTATTGTGTCTGGCTTGGCAGGCTGTGGGGGGAGGGCCTCGTGAGGATTCACCAACTTGGCTAGGCCACTTAAAAATGCATTACCTCTCCGGAACATTGGCCTATCTAATGGTAAAGACAACTGTTTGTGCAGCAATCTCCTTTCTTTCTCTGTAAGCGTTAAGCTTTTTTATTTTATTATTCTTTTGTCTAAGACAATGAAATTTAGTATTGTCAGTAAGAAATACCTAATAAATTGACATAAAGCAGTTGAGGTCATTTCATAAGATGCTAATTCTGTAATGTTGATATAAAAGAACAATTTTTGTTTGTATTTACTGCAAAATTTTAATTTACTATTACAATTCTTTTACTAGTAACATTTTAAGTTTATTAAACTAACCCATGCTTTCGTCAGGGATCCCTTTAGGTACAACTCTTGTGATGAAATGACCAAGGCCTGGTGGTAGATAATGGTAAGTTTCCGGCAGTCGAAGGCCAGCTCCGTCACCAATACCCTCTTGACCTAAAAAAAAATGTAACATTTATATGCATAGTGAAGCCATGAAACAAAAAATATTGCTATCTCAAACATATATTTACATAGGTCGAAACCGTATTTAACAGAAATTCTTTGAAACATAAATTATTATTTAACTTTATGTGGTTTACTCTACTACATATTTAAAGGTTATGGAGATTAGATGAGGAATATTTATAGTTTATGTGCTATTTGGAAGAATCTCAATTGTATTTAAATACCTAATTCTAGGTTACTTAAAAATAATAAATATTGTATTGTATGAAATAAAAAAATATATTATCAAAATTATTTAAAATAAAACTAAACTTTTTCCAAATAACTTACCCAATTGTTCCAATAATACAGTTTCCAATAATTTCAGAGAGCGACAAGCCGCTTCCACCAGCACTGTGTACAGCTCGGAAAGTTTTGTGTTTCTGTGAATAAATGCTAATGTATCCACTCTTAGTGGCATGCTGATACAAAATGCAGCTGAAAATATCATAAAGAAGTATTAATAATAAATGAAAAAAAAAAAGTGTGTGTATACTTATGTGTGCACGTAAGAAGTTATACTTCGTTGGAGTAACAGAACAAAAATAGCTAACAAGATTTCATCCCATATCTCACAATTCTCTGTTTGTAAAAGGAATGCAGTTAACTTATTCATGTCGCTTTCTGGCTGTCGATGTGCACACATCGTAAAAATTTTATTCTCATAATTTTTCCAAATGGGCCAAAAGAAATATAACTTCAATAAACAGCCTTTTATTTCACTTTGATTGAATACAGAATACAATTTATTGAAATAAAAAAAATTAAACATGACACATACAATAATCAAAAAAGAGAATAAATGAAAACTTAAATGTCTTACGTTTTCTTTGTGTTGTCATCATTTTAACTGCTGTTTTAACAAGCTTATCTGATAGCATGTCTTTTGTGGCTTTTAAAACTAAATTAACAGGTACTATTTCCTATAGAGAAAAAGATTAAATTATATTAAATATTCAGTTCTATTACACTTTTAGTAAACAGGAAGGAGTGAGTCTCCTCTTTAAAGTGTTTTTCAAACTAAAAGGATAAAACAGAAGACAATAATAGAAGGCTGGAATGGATGGCATTATTTCAGCTGTTTTAAATATCATTCCTGCCACTGGATCTGCAGTGTTCATGGGCCAAAATTAGGAGTATAAGTGATTGTAAAATAAATTAAAAAAAATATTTATTTTAAAACAAAAGAGTTGCTTTGTAAAATTTAACTAGTCAAAAACAAAATGTAATTTTAATCACATTTAGGACATTTATTTTACGCCTGAATCAAAAATTTACCACATATCCACCACAAACATCATATCTTATGTTGATGACTTACAACTTTATTTGCACTAAACTTCTTTTTCTTAGTTTGTTCTGGACCAATAGAGTCAATTAATTCTTCAACATTAGCATCTATACTTGTACCAGTAACACCAACATCAGACGCTACTCCAAATAAATACACTGATGTTCCATCTATGTTAAATGATACCTGTCCAGAAGCTATCTACAAAACACATATTTTAAGATATTTAGTTAAAAGAAGTACAGAAACAAGAATTGAAAAGTTTAAGTAAGATTTGTGTCAAGTAATCATGATATGAGATAGGGTATTTATCCATGATGGAAATAATTTGAAAAAGTACATTTCTAATGACATTTTTCTGCAAAGTGAGTCATTTGATACTTTTTATAATTATTTTGAAATTCTAGCCACAGTTTTAAAGTTAGGGAGAATGTCCAATATTTGTTTATTAAAAATATAAGGTTTCATTGCACTATAAGGTTTCATTTATTTACACTATAGGTACATACTTACATCTTAGGACCACATACTTCTATACATATATTATGTATATGTGTCTGAAAGACAGATACTAGTTATCCTATAAAGTTAAATATTTTCTACTCTCCACCAATGAGGTACAGAAGTGTAATAAAGAATTTTAATTTACATATATTATACTTTATATTGAATAATTTCTAATTATTTACCTTTTTTCTTTTGTTTTGTAGTAGATTTTTTACACCAGGTATAGTAGCTTCACAAGTTAAAGGTAAAATAGTATTAAGGCGCACATGAATGAACTGCTTCCATAATTCATCTGACTGAAGAATTTCATAAGGGGTTTCTTCAAATTTATCATGCACTAAAAAGTGTGCTTTTATTTCTCTTTTCTTATTAATTATTATAAAGAGTGGATTGTCTGTTATATCAACATCCTAAAATAAAATAATAGATAATAATATATTCTTATTATATAAAAATAAAATTATCTTTTATCTTTTATATAAAATTAATTGCTTTTATATTTAACCTTTAAAAAATCATTTAATAAATTTTATCAATCAATTTAATTTATTTACTTCAATCTTCTTTTTTAATGGCTTCAAATTGTGCCAGTTGAGTAAAAATAATATATTTTGTTATTTACCTGCAATATTTCTTTAGGTTTCGATTCTATCGTTAGAGTCTCACTGAATTTAATAACTCCACATATTTCTATTTCGGCAGGCAAGTGAAGAAGTAGTTGTCTATATGGTTTTTTTTCATTTTCGAAAAATTCTAAGCTCATCCCCACGACGAGCAAAGTGCTATCGTACATAAGCCCATATAGACAGCCGGTGATTTCATTTGTATCGATTTTGGATAACCGCTGTAAATAAAAACATACTTTTAATTAAATTTAAGTTAAAAGTTCGCTATGGAAAATGAATGAGGTGATGACGTTTATGCAAGGAACAAGTATTTTGCCAAAAATAAAAAAAAAATATCCTATTTATCTAAATCTAAAATAAATAGTAAATAACTTCACAAATTATCTACAAATGTATAATAGTTACTAGGAAAAAAGTTTAGAATTTTACCTCAATAACATAGTTTGATATTATAAGACGTGGTGACATTTTTTAGAAGTATTGCCATTAATATAAAATATTTGAATATAAATATAGTACTATAATATTAAGATTTAAGTGCTACGAGACCACAGGCTATAATAATTATGGAGACCAATAGATAAAGATTAAAGTCCGCCTCACTTAAAAAGTCTCGCAGACACGGCGCCACGGTCATGCGACAGAATGTTGATAGCCTCTATGGTTTTAGACTGCCTTAAAATTTCAATATATATAATAGATTGTTTTTTTGTAAATTAAGTTAATAAACATTTTAAAATAATACATTCTACATACATATATTTCGCACATATTGTTTGCTCAAGACCTGCGCCTCAAGTAATCGTAATAAAGAACGAAGAACTATTATTTCTAATACACACTAGTAGAGTAGTTATATTAAAAAAACATTTATATATTTTTTATAAATTTTAATTGTATAATTATAGTCATCGATTGGGTTTATTCCAGACAAAATGTAATGACATCTTTTTACATCCGAACACGGTAACAGCATCTGACAACGACAACATTGTCGATCTGTAATTAGTTCCGTTTTTTGCCGTGAGACTCCTTTCGTGAGCAGAGCTGCGAATTGGCGGGTTATTACCCGAAAAGCGAATTTAAAAGATTTTTGATGGCGAGAAATTTAGTCGGATAATTGTATTGAGCAGGGTACAAGCGGGTATTTTAGTTTAGCTGGCAACATTATCACAATAGTATTTAAAAAAAAACCCATTAAAACAGTTCATTGAAACTCATTGAATACAGAATACAGATTGAAATTTGAAATTGTTGTTGCAATATTACCCGAGCGCCGGAAGGTATCCGTAAAGCAAGAGATATCGTGAAATTTCAGCCCAGTGTTCAAATGTTACGAACCAAATTATTGCCATCTTCTGACTCTAATGAGCCAAGTATTAGCGGAAATTGATTCATATGTATGATTCAATAATTTAAAGCTGTTTAATTGAGAACTGATTATAAAGACTTCTTTTTCTAACATTCGTATTTTCTTTATTTTATATTATATAAAAACTTTTTAACAAAAAATAAAAACCGACTTCCAGGCACTAAAATGTAAAAAATAACTAAACTGAGGTTTCTAATTTCCATTTAGAATAGATACCTAATCAGATATTTTCGAAGTTGGTGCCCGCCGATGCAAAGCAAATCTAATATATTTCGATACGTAAAATACACACCTATTTACCTATATTCATATCTTAAAATATTGTAGGCTGGCATCGTGTTCCAGCGGCCAAGATGCAAGATCATCAATCACAGGTGTCCAGGTTCGAATCTCGGTCGCATACAAAGTTATTACTTTTATTTTTTTTATATTTATTCAAGTTTTTAGTTTTTTTTAAAAAAAAACCGCAAGATTGATAATCATAGGTATCCGGGTTCGAATCACGGTCGTATACAAAGGTATAATTTATTTGTTTCTTTTTGTATTTAAGTGTTTAGTTTTTTTTTTTAAAGAAAATTGTACTTTTCAACGTAAAACTCTGAGCGAAGCTCGGTGGCCCAGGTACTATATATATATAATCTGAATCTCGGAAACGGCTCTAACGATTTTCATGAAATTTAGTATACAGGGGGTTTCGGGAGCGATAAATCGATCTAAATTAGTTTTATGTCTAGGAAAACACGTGTTTTCGAGTTTTCATGCGGTTTTGTTTCGCATTATTCCACGCAAAATATGGTCGCTAATTCGCACGCTAGGACATAAGCATCGTGGTGAAGCGGCGAAGGCGCTAGTTTGACAACCACAGGTGTCCGGGTTTGAAACCCGGTCGGATACTAAAGTATAATTTATATTTATCTATTTAGTATTTATTCAAGTTTTTAGTTTTTTTTAAACATAATTGTACATTGGACTAAAAACTCCGAGCGAAGCTCAGTGGCCCAGGTACTATTGATTAAAAATAAATAAAGCAGAAATTAATGTCAGTGATTATATTTCAGAATTCATTTTTTATACATGTCTCAATGACTTTTTCCACAAGTTTGCTTCTCTCTTTTGCTAGTATTAAGGTTTTCTTTTCAGTTTCACTAGAAAGGTTACTGCCACCAAACTTTTGTATTCCACAAAATTGCCCTTTATTCCAACAGATTATTAAATTAGCTCCTATGCCACCACTCATTTCCTCTTCATAAGCTGAAGGATCAGCTAACACTATGCTTCTGTAACAAATAATATATTTTTATTTTCACCATAATATAAGTCTTCTATATAAAGGCGCGCGTCTAGGAAAGCCGATCAAAATATTTAAAAAATGTTTTGATAAGGTAGAAATACTTGAAACCGTCAGATTAAGGTGTGGTAGGCTAATCGCATCCTGAAAAGTGTACAATTCAATAATCTGCCGATTTGCACAAGCCGAAGAGGCAAAAATCGACTATAAAGTTTATGATGAAAGTACTCAATAGAGTGCAAGGTAACCTCTTTTATGTTAATCTGCCGCGCTTGAGTAACTACAAAAATCCCCTCTTGGGCTCCCCTACTAATACAAAAAAAATAATAATCTTGATATTAATAAAAGCAAAGCTGAGCACCCAGGGGTGTGTCCATGCATATGTTTTAAATAGATAAGATAGTTATTGTGATTGTACTTGAGTTAATACACACATACTATTTCAGACTTGTCTTTTCTAAGCCTTTTTAGGATAAAAATTTTTTCACTATGAATTTTCACTGTTAAGGTTTAGCGTCAGCCATGTAAGCATATAAAAATGGTTCATTTTGACAAAATACTGTCATTGCTTAGAAAGATTTAGAAATTACATACATAAACCTTTCTCATTAATTGCTTATTCTATTAGTGAAAACTGTATCAAAAGCCATGATGTGGTCAAAAAGGAGTTATTGAAGAAACAAGCAACTTTTTTTAATACTTTTTATAGGTACAGTACAGGTACAAGTAGATGAGTCAGAGTGAGATAGTTTGGATACTCGAACTAAATTTTGTGTTCTTTTTTCCATAATAATGAGATGTTACTTGTATTGTGCTAATTTTTTAAATAAAATGTTAATATTATAACCCAGTGACTAAAAGTTTTTGCTTATTAAATCATTGATTTTTTTTGTGAAGGACAACTCTGTGGACCAGTTAGTGTTTTTCCATGGGAATGAGAGATGTTTCCTGTAGTAGCTTCAAAATTTAGTTAAAATCCATTTAGTATGTTTTGTCTAAATTGCACACAAGCATACAAACAAAAATTTCAACAATTATGGTTTTGGAGTCTATATTATGTGCACAATAGGTAATAGTCATGGTTTTTAAAAAAATATTTCATATACAGATTTGGCTTTGTTAGTTTTATTATATGTATAGGTACAACCTTGGTGATTGTTGGTAAACAGCAAAACTAGTAGCAACTGGAAGCCCATGGACTTTTAAAGGTGTTCTTGTATTAGTATCTACTTTTATTTCTTCCGTTTCTCCATCGTAACTTACTGAAGGCAAACTTACTAGAAAAATAAAATTTGTTTTATTGAACACATTATGCCCAAGGTTGAATTAGCTTAATAAAGAATACAAATATTAATACATACACATTTTTAGACTTGTCATCAAGGTTATAATGCAGGCATCCACAACACTTCCATCATTATCAAGACAAACAATGTCACAATATAGAACCCATGCAAGCTTATCAGGTATCACACATAAGTCTTTTAAGTCCACACAATTGGAGTTCTTAAATATATCAGAAACAATATTACTAATAACTTGAGCATGGTCAGATGGAGGCCCAGGTCTAAATTTAGATGAGCATAATGGAAGAAGTTCAACATTAGTAACAATAAATCCTAATTCAGGCTCTTCGGCTTTTGGTTTTGCCAACTCCTTAAAAAAAATTTAAACAAAAGTTATAAATTAAAGTAACTGAATGATAAATAAATATCACAATAAATAAATTTTTACCAATTTAATACCGCAAACAACAGTCGTGTTACCACATTTTACTACAGCAGATGCATCAGCTGCTTTTATTGCATTAACGTTAAGTTTTATATCGCGCTGATCTTCAAAGAGTCTCCCATCTGGCCGAACATTTCGACTAATGTAGTCATTAAAATATTTAACAGGATGAATAATCCTGAAATTTATTTTTTTAATAACAGTAAAATAATAACATTTCTTTTATATATAGTATCTCTTAAAAAACTTACTTGTAAACTGCCATAATGTACTCTCAAAACTTCTATATATTTTTGTTAAAAAGCATTATTTGTAGAGCTTTTTATTTATTTACACCATGGATGACTTTTTTAGGTTATTTTTAGTTGTCAGTTCACAGTCACTTGTCACTTGTCAGTATTCTCCGCTTTAAAATCTCCGGTCGCACAGATTATAAATAGAGTAACCACTCGACTTTTATTTGTCATCCATGCACTCGACGTTCGACACTGTTGTTCTTGGTGTATGATCGACACAATCAGCTTAGATTAAACCCCTGTTTTCATGGTAAGTAGTAAGGATTTACGAAAGAACCCATAGTAATATTATAAATGTGAAAGTGTGTTTGTTTGTTTGTCCTTCTTTCACGTCGAAACAGAGTGACGGATTAGCATAATTTTTTGTATGGAGATAGTTGGCGAGCTGGTGAGTGACTTAAGCTACTTTTTATCGCGGGAAATAATCTCATTCCCACAGGATATATATATATGTATATATATACATGCTTTTTAATAAAATGAAATAAATACGTGTTTTAGCATTTTTCGAAATTCATTCTATATGGGAGTAAAATGAAAGTTTGTATGAAACCTACCTTTTTAGAGATTTTTATAATCTAAGCGCGAGCGGAACCGTGGGTTCTGCTAGTACTTCATAAAAGAACTTTATAATGTATAATAATACTTGTATAAATAAATTATAATCTGATCTAAACTTTTAAAATTATATATTTGCATATACTTTGTTTTTTTTGTTGCAAAAGTTTATTATGAATAATTCTTTTTAAATTATTTGTTTTAAGGGTAGCACAAAAGTTTATTGAATGCTTTCATTCATATTAATGCTTTCATCTACAATAATTTGTAATTTTTTTATAAAAAAGTATGTTAATGACAGTTCCATAGATTATACACTTATATACTGGCAGACAGTTCAGTGTTGACATATGACAGCTTGACAAGTGACAGCTCTTTTTGATACGGCAAGTGTAAGCTGAGGTGTGTTTTTAAGTTATAATCTATTAAAATCTGTGAAATAAATGTATTATCAAGTTATTTAATCACTCGAATAAAGTTGTTTAGTGTATGGATAATTTAGAGGTGTATATATTTTAAGTATTCAATTTATAATTATTGCAGATCACAATGGCAAAACCAAAAGGAGAGAGGAAAGGTAAATCGGCGATAAATGAAGTTGTGACTCGTGAATACACTGTTAATTTACATAAACGGCTTCATGGAGTCGGTTTTAAAAAACGGGCACCACGGGCGATTAAGGAAATTCGCAAATTCGCTGAAAAACAAATGGGTACCCCTGATGTCCGTGTTGACACCAGGCTAAACAAATTCCTTTGGTCAAAGGGTGTCAGGTAATAATATATATTACTATACTAAAGAATAAATACAATTTTATTATTAATATTTTTTATGCGCTATTTGATAAAAATCCTAAGATACATAAAACTAAGGTTAGAGTACTAAGTACTGATAGGTTATAACTTATAACATATGAGCACAATTATTATGAATAAATATTTAACCAATTTTTTTGGGAAATGTTTTGTTGACTATGTTGCTAATAATAATACCTAATATCATTTTATGAAGATCATATTAAAATGTATCAATGTATAATACAAATAGAAATCAGAAGTAGTTATAAACTGAATATGAAATTGAACTTATAACTTAAATTCTATATTACTGTAAAAATGGATTACGTATAGCATTATATTAATTATTATTGTATCTTATACATGTAGGTAGTACTGCAATTTTACACTTATATTACCTTATAGATTTAAAGGCTTCTTTTATGTTTGGAAGTGATTTGATTTGAATATAGTTAGATTGGAATGTTTTTCTAGATTTGATAACAACAAAATGAATGTGGTAATTTTTTGTTAAACTATAATTTGTAATAAATTAAATACTCTAATATAAAATAATATTTTTTTTATCATATAAATAGTTACCAATATTGTCTAGCAGTAGTTTATTTATTCAAAGTCAACCAGAAAATAAGTTTTAATTTTCAAGAGATCCAATTGAAGCAATAAAAATTAGTATATAGTACTATTTAAAAAAAAAATACAAATAATTACTTACATTTATTAGTTCAACTAGCATTGCCCGCGGCTCCGCCCGCGTTCAGATGACCAAAAACTAAATTCTTAGGTGTTACATATTAGTATACTCTTACATTGCAGTTTTTGTATTTTTCCTCAGAAATAAGATATTTTCCCGCGGTAAAAAGTATCCTAGGATCGCGCGCTACATCGCCCGGTTTATATAGCTTGAGCAGGCGGTCGAGCGATGCGGGGCAGAGGGGATGGACTCGCCGTAGGCATCTCAATGCTCGCCAAGCATTAAAAATGTTTCGCTACTAATTACTTCTAACAACGATATCTCAAAAACTATTCATCTGATTGATTTAGTGTAAAGAGCAATTTTAATCTGCATTAAATGACTAAGCTAACTAAAATATTCATTTGGATAAGGATTAATACCGAACTAAAGAAAATAACTTTGAAAATAACGTAATGTTTTTAATTAAAAATGTTAACATAAAAGTGGTTATTGTAAGTCAACCGTAAGAGATAGAGATATGCTATCGCGGACTTTTTTGTAGCATTTTTATAGATTTTGAATTCTCTAGTACATTACTTAACTGTATCTTTGCTAGTTTACGCGGCGTTCGCGTGGAAAGTTCCCATTTGGCGAGATTTTTTGCGACCTCTTCAACATTTGTCGCCGTATTTCAGCTAATTTACATAAAAGCATAATAAATTATATACCTAAACCTTCCTCAAGAATTACTCTTTCTATTGTTGAAAACCGTATAAAAATCCGTTCAGTAGTTTTCGAGTTTATCGCGTACAGACAGACAGGAGGACAGAAAGACGCGGCCGGGGGACTTATTTTTATAATAAGTATAGATATTAAATAAAATAATTTTTATTTCTTTCAGAAATGTGCCTTTCCGAGTTCGTGTAAGGCTTTCTCGCAGACGTAATGATGATGAGGACTCTGCACACAAATTATTCACCCTTGTGACGTATGTGCCAGTTGCATCTATCAAGGGCTTGCAAACTGAGAATGTTGATGCTAGCCAAGAATAAACATTAAGTTAAGCTTATAAATTGTTTCATTTAATTATCCGAAGGTATTTTCTTATACAAAATTAAAATTATAAATTAATAAAAGATAAATTTCATACTTAGTTATATTTCAGATATAGCCGAAGGATTTTATTTCAAATGTGCATATATTACTAGTAAATCAATTAGTATAAAAATTGTAGTCATGCCCTGAAATGTCATTGTTTCAAAGTCATTAGCTTTCCAAAACAATAATACATGTGTATCAATGAGTCCTTTCGCTATTTGAAATACTTTCACCGCTTTGTGTCAGTTCCTGCCATTATTTAGTCCAGTCAAATAAGGTCTGAAATCAAAATGTTGGCACTCAACTTTGCATTTTTGATATAATGTAGTTTTAATGATACAAAAACAATGTGTAAAGATTTTAGTGTCCGCAACCCCCGGCAAGGGTTCAAAAAAAATAGTCAAAAGTATTTTTTCGCAATTACTCAAAAACGGTAAAAGTTAGACAAAAAAGTTTTGATAAAAATATGTAGAGCTTAAAATTTTACATCAAAAAAGTTTTATAACTTTTTTTCCTCCGGTCAAAATAACCAAGTTAGGGAGGTTTTAAGTTTAAGGGATGAACGTAAATTAAAATAGGTAGTAGAAAAAGAAGCCAATTTTCATTTTTTTTTAAATTGCTTAATTGCTGAAAATGATAGATTTGACGCACTAAATTCTTAAACATGTTATGTATTTATAACCCTACGATTAACATTTTTTTTTTAACAATTATTAAAAAATTTGTATGAAGACTATGTCGGTCACTAGTATTGGGTTTTTTCGTGGGGAAGAGAGATTTTTCTGTATAAAAAGATAGGTATCCTAAATGGACCAGAAGAGAGTCTAAGTGCGGAAAACGAGTCCACTTTACATTACATTACATTAGGTATCCTAAATGTTGACCTGAGTAATAATTTATCATTACACAAAATTTAAGTAGTTAAAATCCTTTAAGTAGTTTTGCGTAAAATGCGCACAGTTATACAAACAGAAGAAATTCAAAAACTACCTATTGTTTTGGGGTGTTTTATATGTAACAGTACTTTATGAAAAAAAAGTGTGTGTACTCATATAGGTACGCACTTAAGAAGTGAAAATAATATAACAAAGATGTTAAATATAATTGACAAAGGTTTAATAAAAAAAACATATGTGTATACTTATGGACACAAAATAGCTAAAGATTTTATCCCGTATGTCACAACTCTCTGTTTGTAAAAAGAATACATACAGCTAACTTCATCATGTCGCTTTTTGGCTGTCGGTATGCGCGCGCATTGTAAAAATTTTACTCTCATATTTTTTTCCAAACGTGCCAAAAGAAGTACTTATTATAACTTCAAAAATATAATTATTTATAGAACGGCTACTGATAAAATCAAAAAGAACTTTTGCTACATACATGAATCCTATAGAAAATTAACATATCATCAAATCAAAAATAATCAAAATAAATTATTTGTTTATTAAGTAATAATTTATAAAATAAAATAAAAATGTAAAAAATGATACATAAGTACCTCAGTTAACCTCAATCTCATTGTACCTCAATCTTGGGACACCATTAGGAACGAAGTTCCCTGGGCTCATAATCAGCTCGTACACATTGTCACGAGTACCAGGGTAACATGGAATTCGAGTAATATTGTACACGTTGAAGCTCATCGAAAAAATTAAAAAATCCGCACAGCGGAGTGAACACGAATTTCTTACAATATACTTACAGTCAACATTTATAGTCGCCTGGTAGCTTGTGATGGCGTCGAATTGGATGCTCTTAGAATCTATACATATAATAATACTGTAGAGGTCGAATGTCTGTACATAGGAAAAAATGCTAAAAACCGAGTCAGGGAGATGTGAGAAGAGAAATAAAACAAGTCCAATTTTTTTTGTTTCTCTGTTTGTCGGGCAATCTCCGAGACCGTTGGACTGATCTAAATGAAATTTTGCATGGTGGTACCTTATATCCCTTTTTTTTTTTTTTTTTTTTAACGTTGGGAAATGCATTTACGCACGACGTGTGGGACTCACCGGCGTAATACAGCCAGTACTACCCACTAAAACCCAACAAAACCTTCCACCGTCATAATGGGGCGTCGCAGGATCGCTTACGCATTCAACTACGACGCCCCGACGGCAGGTCTGCCAAAGCAGACCACCACAACCATGGGGCTGCTCCAAGGTCCACTCTGCTATCAGAGAAGTACCAGGAGCAACCCGCAAGGTACACCGCCCCCCGAAGAGGGCCACTTCCCACCGCCCACCGAAGTGGGCAACCTCCCTGCAACTTTGCATTTTTGATATAATGTAGTTTTAATGATACAAAAACAATGTGTAAAGATTTTAGTGTCCGCAACCCCCGGCAAGGGTTCAAAAAAAAATAGTCAAAAGTATTTTTTCGCAATTACTCAAAAACGGTAAAAGTTAGACAAAAAAGTTTTGACAAAAATATGCAGAGCTTAAAATTTTACATCAAAAGGGTTTTATAACTTTTTTTCCTCCGGTCAAAATAACCAAGTTAGGGAGGTTTTAAGTTTAAGGGATGAATGTAAATTAAAAAAATCGTAGGTAGTGTAGAAGAAGAAGCCAATTTTCATTTTTTTTTAAATTGCTTAATTGCTGAAAATAATAGATTTGACGCACTAAATTCTTAAACATGTTATGTATTTATAACCCTACGATTTACAGTTTTTTTGTACCAATTATAAAAAATTTTGTATGAAGACTATGTCGGTCACTAGTATTGGGTTTGTTCGTGGAGAAGAGAGATTTTTCTGTATAAAAAGATAGGTATCCTAAATGGACCAGAAGAGAGTCTAAGTGCGGAAAACGAGTCCACTTTACATTACATTACATTAGGTATCCTAAATGTTGACCCGAGTAATAATTTATCATTACACAAAATTTAAGTAGTTAAAATCCTTTAAGTAGTTTTGCGTAAAATGCGCACAGTTATACAAACAGAAGAAATTCAAAAACTACCTATTGTTTTGGGGTGTTCTATATGTAACAGTACGTTTTGAAAAAAAAGTGTGTGTAGTAGTAATAGGTACGCACTTAAGAAGTGAAAATAATATAACAAAGATGTTAAATATAATTGATAAAGGTTTAATAAAAAAAACGTATGTGTATACTTATGTACACAAAATAGCTAAAGATTTTATCCCGTATGTCACAACTCTCTGTTTGTAAAAAGAATACAGCTAACTTCATCATGTCGCTTTTTGGCTGTCGGTATGCGCGCGTATCGTAAAAATTTTACTCTCATATTTTTTTCCAAACGTGCCAAAAGAAGTATTTATTATAACTTCAAAAATATAATTATTTATAGAACGGCTACTGATAAAATCAAAAAGAACTTTTGCTACATACATGAATCCTATAGAAAATTAACATATCAAATCAAAAATAATCAAAATAAATTATTTGTTTATTAAGTAATAATTTATAAAATATGTAATGTAAAAAATGATACATAAGTACCTCAGTTAACCTCAATCTCGTTGTACCTCAATCGTGGGACACCATTAGGAACGAAGTTCCTTGGCTCATAATTAGCTCGTACACATTGTTACGAGTACCAGGGTAACATGGAATCCGAGTAATATTGTACACGTTGAAGCTCATCGAAAAAATTAAAAAATCCGCACAGCGGAGTGAACACGAATTTCTTACAATATACTTACAGTCAACATTTATAGTCGCATGGTAGCTTGTGATGACGTCATATTGGATGCTCTTAGAATCTATAAATATAATAAAACTGTAGAGGTCGAACGTCTGTACATAGGAAAAAATGCTAAAAACCGAGTCAGGGAGATGTGAGAAGAGAAAAAAAACAAGTCCAATTTTTTTTCAATTTTTTTGTTTCTCTGTTTGTCGGGCAATCTCCGAGACCGTTGGACTGATCTAAATGAAATTTTGCATGGTGGTACCTTATATCCCTAGTCAACATCTTAGATACTGTTCATCCCGGAAAATTAAAGAGTTCTCGTGGGACAGTTAAAAAACTATTAACTTATACAGCTTATTACATAAAAACTACTGATTGGATTTTAATGAAACTTTACAATAATATAGTTCAAGAAAATCTTACCCACGGGAAAATACAATAACTGGTTAATAATAAAGCAAATATAACCCTTTTTGTTACATGACTATTTCTGTCTTTCAACTCCTTTTTTGTTTTTTATTTATTTATTTAGTTTTTTTTCTTTATTGAGTTGATTAATAGAAAAAGAACACCTTAATCGATTTTAACGGGACTTTTAATGGCGGTAGAGAACTTTGTTGAAGGCAATTTTTACCCCAAGAATAGAAAACGACTCCCGCGATAACAACACTTTACCTTCGAACCAACCAAAGAAAAATTTATACTAATAATGTAAAGTAGAGTAAGTTAAGAAATTGCTTAACTAAATAATTCGGTATTTAGCGTTATGTTTAAAAATGCTATTTACATTTGTTTAATTCGCAATGTTAGAATATTTTGAAAGTTATTTTAATTTGTACAGTAGTTACCTATTTACATTATATCTGATAGTATTTACTTACACATAAAGTACGAATAAAGGCCTTGTTTAACAGCATTTATTTTGTTCGAGACTTTGTTTTATTTTCTGCAATAGTAAATAACGCATCTAAATCCCAGGGATCTCATATCAACAGTCTAATCAGATGGGGTTCTTGTCTTGATACAAGGAGGGCATTTCTCTTCATTCAAGGTAATTAACTTCCAATGGAGTCTTACTTATGTTCTGTGTGAAAATGAGTTGGAATAAATAAATTGGTTCTATTTATAAATTATAATTTCTTTATTTTATTTACAATTATATTATTTTTTACGTATATTGTTGTAATAATAATACATATTTTACTTATGAATAACGTTTAGCACAAATAACACTAGACAGCCTCTTTGCTCACCGACGGTCATTGGTCAATAACAGGAAGGTCAAAGACCTATG